AGGTGGACTTAATGCTATAGGCATTCTCTACCGGTCAACTATATTCATGTGTGTGTATGTATATAGCTGTAACCGCAATTTCAACCGCTTGAAATGTATTGCCTATGTGTAACACATGCCTATGTGTAATACATTTCAAGCTGAGATTCAGATCATGTGCCATGGCACTTTATTTATGCCATCCGTTTTTTTGGAAAAAACTAATATGGAATGGTTCGTGGACTACTCTATTGCTGTTAGCAGCAGTTGGCCTGTACAGCTTCACCGGACGATAGGAGGCGAGTGCAGATGGCACTCCAAACCAAGGAAAAACATCTACAGCGGCTGATGACCAATTCCCGCCTGACTGATACGACTTTAGTCTGATGACACCACTAGGGGTTCGAACTTCGGCTCAGGGCTTTGTAATTTCAATCCCTGTTTGAACTGGACGAGGGATCGATCGGGGGATGCATCTGTCTGCGCCAACGGGGTATACCAGTCGTATCCTGCACTACGGATACGACTTTAGTCTGACGGCACCGCTAGGGGTTCAAACCTCAGGTCAGGCTGTCGTAATTTCGATCCCCATTTGAATTAGATGGGGTATCGACCGGAAGAGGGGACTTGATGAATTGTAATAAGTATAAAATAAACATAGACATCATAATCTATGTGATTTTATTGCAACGTTATCATTACCATTTGTTTTGTGTGTGATCACATAAAAAACGTAATTAGCTAAGGTTGTATGTATATTGCTGATAAGTTGTAATATTAACTATACAGACCACTTTGCATGATAACAATAGCATAATGCTATGCAATCTATACATATAAATAAAATTGGAGTGTCTGTTTGTAATATTGAAACAATTGTTTTTTACTACATGCATATGAATATAAATACGGTACATACACCAAAATAACATTTTTTACAATTTTATGTCTGTCTGTCTGTCTGTTTGTTCCGGCTAATCTCTGAAATGGCTGGACCGATTTTGACAAGACTTTTATTGGCAGGTAGGCTAGGAGTAACTTAGGCTACTTTTAATTTAGAAAATAAAGTTAAATTCCACGCGGACGAAGTCGCGGGAACAGCTAATAACAAAATATAAACGCTGTAACACGCTTGACTAACATACAGAGGATTTTTTTTAATGGATTATAATCGAATGGTATATATGCATCTGGACTAGAGCCCTCACTGGACACTGCAAATTTAATAAATACATAGCGAAATTAGGCTTTAGCTTAACAGCAATCTGCAGATTCTGTCAAGCAGAAGAAGAACTGCAACTATACCTACATCCATGTGATTAAGGCCCGCTCTTGCGTAAATGAAATATCTCCTTTGGAATATATACACTCTATCCTGAGGAGATAAAAGCCATCGCTCCTAAGAATATCCTTCAATTCTTGTCCCTGACAGGTCTAGGTAGTGATCTTTCAAAAAGGACGAGCACAATAGATCTATGCAGGTCTACATCCATGGTGGAAACCCGCTCTTGCATAAATGAAATATCTCCTTTGGAATATATACTCTATCCTGAGGAGATAAAAGCCATCGCTCCTAAGAGTACCCTTCAATTTTTGTCCCTGGGGGTCTAGGTAGTGATCTTTCAAAAAGGACGAGCACAATAGGTCTAAGCAGGTCGTATACATCCATGGTTGAAACCTGCTCATGCATAAACGAAAAATCTCCTTTAGAAAGAATACACTCTATCCTGAGGAGATAAAAGCCATCGCTCCTAAGAATATCCTTCAATTTTTGTCCCTGACAGGTCTAGGTAGTGATCTTTCAAAAAGGACGAGCACAATAGATCTATGCAGGTCGTAGCACCTGACAATAGCCTAAAACCCCCAATAAAAAATCGAATGGTGTACCTGCGCTAACGACTTATTGCTAGCAAGGAAATCATCAGTCATATTACTAACAGTCCTCTTAACCAAACAGCCAGAGAATTCTGAACGTATATGTTTTTGCAGTAACAAATCACGGCTGAAGTAGTTAATATCATCATCCAATGAAATATTAATCACAACAGAAGATAAAGAAATAAAAGAATAACATATATTATGAAACCAGTTTTTATTTTGGGTTATCGTTCTTATTTAAAAAGAGTGCGAGGAACAGCAATGCGCCCACAGACCACAGCCTGCACATATTGCAGCCGCAGTAGGATGCCGAGCGTATACATGGATAATACTCTAAGTACACTTATTCTTATGCCCAATTTACACTCAGCACAAGTGGGCAGGGAAGTGAGCAGCGCTGGATAATACTGTGAGTATCAACACCGCCACTTATTCTTATGCCCAATTTACACTCAGCACGAGTAGGCAGGGAAGTGCGAAGGAAGGCAGCGCGAGACTGTAAACACGAGTGGAAACACTTCCCATGCCATTGGCGCTGCTACTCGAGCTGCCCGGCGCTCCCTCGATTGTTGGTTTTTCGTGCGCGAGTCAAAGGACTGGCAGCGCGAGTGGCGTGTTTTTACATTCAGCCCTCTCGCTCAGTTGTCGCCCGGCAATATTTCCGGCAGCGCGAGTGGCAGGGAAAGCGGCTGAATGTAAACGTAGCAGAATGCTACGTTAACATTCAGCCGCAATAAGTTTACAGTTTCCGTTCGGGGTCTAATGACCTCTAGAAATCGGATAATTTTACGACAGATTTGAGGCGCCCCGTGATAACATTTTGTCCAACTGAACTTGATGACTTCTACTAATTAATTTAATATAAATATGAGATATAAAATTGCATGCATTATCTGATTACACAAAGATGGAGTGTGTAGCGGTTTATATGTTCACTGCCACATGCCTAATCCTTGTTAATGTGTATTTACTTCGAACAACATTTATTTAAAAGAGCAACAAGTTTCTTGCTCATCCTTCTTGTGATGAATGAGTTAGAGAGAATTGTAGAATAAAAAAATATGACTATGCAAAAAGTTTTATAATATTAAGATTATTTAAATGCCTTTAACTTTATTCTATGTAAAGATAAAAACTACTACTTTTTATCGTTACATAGAATAAAATTAAATAATACCCACAACTCAGTTTTATTAGATCAATAGTCAATTCAAAATTATATTTCAAATTCAAATTCACAATATCTTTATTCATGTAGGTCTATTACAGACTCTTATGATATGTCAAATCTACCCTGAAAAACAATCATGTAATATTCATATACCTATATAACATAACATATATATATAGTTAAAATCTGTTCAACAACTTTTTTATTTGGTATTTTTTTATCCTTGTTTATTGTCATAATGTTTATACTTTACTCATTTATTTAATAAGAATTGTGATAATAACATGATTTATTATTGTTATTCAACATATAATTATAATAATTAAGGAATAGGAGTGACTACCCAACTTTACTCAGTTTTTATATATTTAGGTCACTGGAGGAAGTGGATTGTTAGTAATGTGGACTAATAACCCTATTGCTAGTACCCAGTACCCTATTAGGTTGACTTCCACATGGGGGAACCATGTGGTAAATTGTCATTTACCAGAAGGGCTAACTCTTTTAGTATCAGTTATTAGTTCAGTAAAAGTCCCATCAAAATAGGTCCAGCCATTCCAGAGATTCGTAAAAACAAAAAGACTGACATTTGGTCAGTTAGCTCATCTTATCAATCTCCACTGGTATCAGCATGGTATTGATTTTTTGTAAATTTCTAACTGTAGTAAAGTTTAGTGTGAGAAAAGAGATGGATGGACTGTGTGAAAGATGATATGGTAAGAAAAGAAGTAAATAACGCAATGACTGCGAACAGGGATGAATGGAAGCGAAAAACATATTACGCCGACCACGAATAAATGGGATAAGGAAGAAGCAGATGATGAGTAAAGTTTAGTGTTAAAAACATAAAGTAAAAACAACAAGATGACCACTGTCGTAGACCCCTTGCAGTTTGTCATAAACCCCTGGGGGTCAATATAGACAACTTTGGGAATCACTGTTCTAAACTTATTAATATTATAAATGCGAAAGTTTGTGAGTATGGATGGATGTTTGTTACTCTTTCACACAGAAACTACTGAACAGATTTTGTTGAAGCTTTACTTTAGATATTATGTAAATTAGGTAAGTGTGATGCAGAGGAAGCATAGGTCAGCTAGTTAAGTATATTTGCCTGATTTTAATTACTATTCTGTACTATAAATAGTTTGTAACATTATCATATTGTTAAATGATAAATGTGATTGTGTTATTATATATTATGTTTTAATTGTTCAACCAATTATCACAAAATATGACATTAGTTGTGATGGAGATAGACTTAACTACTATATAATTAAACTACTTTTAGACTTTAAACCCAGACCAGTAGACAAATAAATGGTATTTCTCTACTGGAATACATACTTTTGCATAATCTTCTGGTTATAATTAGGTTTTCATCAAATATTATATTTGATAAGTAATACTGCATTTTTCCATCTTAATAATACTACAAAACATTTATAATGCAAATATTATAGTGTTACATAACTTTATAAATTTTAAATTATTGGATGTATTTTGTAATAGCTAAATAGTAAAAAAGTAACTGAAACTTTTAAAGTGCTTACTACTGAAATCTTCATACATATTTCTAGTTAAATTATTTTTAAGTAAATCCAATTTATAAAATTAAATTTCTCTGTTTGAATATTATATAGACACTATAACAAGTAAATTAAACCTAATTTATATCATTAATCAAATATTAAGAAAGCCTTGAAGATATTGTTTTTAATGCCAGAAATGTGTTTAATTTAAAAATTATTATTATTTATTTATAAACGTATTGGTTTGACATACGAATATTTAACATGTAAATATAAATGAACAAAGAAGAAATACTTATTCAAAATTATGTATCTTTAGAGGCCGTAACATAAAACTGAAGGTCCATAGTTCGTATTATAAACCTGCGTGGACTAGTGTCACAATAATTTCGACATCAACACGCTCACAGAACAATAGTATAATAATTCATAACACTTACAGCCATCACCATTTCGAAGGAGTACTTGTGTACCCTTACAGGAGACACGTAATCCTGAACCATTTTTATACAGTCACTTGCAGTCAACAATATAAATTAAAAAGGATAGAATTATCCTTGACAAACACTATTTCACACAACAGGCATGCTGCAAAAGCTTTCACTCCCGATACCGTATGACAACAAAATATCCTGACGTCAAAACGTACTGAAAGACGTCGTTTCGAACTTGAAATGAGATTGAAGGAACAATATATATATACACAAATACAAACAAAATGGATTGTTTGCTGTGACACTTCTGACAGCTCAGTCAGACCACTGAACTGAAGTTTACCACAAATTCATGATGAATGTCAAATCTGACATTTTGGCTGTGTTGTAATATGTGATTCAATTTTTCCATGTTCTTGTGAAAATGGAAAAATTGAATCACATAATTATTTTCATATTAATTTATTAAAATTGTGTACATATTAAAAAATTTATACAATACAGAAGTAGATGGATCCGATATTTTACCCGATATCCAATATTTGTATTCATCTACTTACGTATTAAATGCATTTTTAGGAGAACATAAAAGGATGTTATTCATCGTGTATTTTCTGACAGAGGAATTATAAGCCTATAGAACCGGCTTGCTCGCATGAGGGTAATTATCAATGTGAATAAAGCATGAACTATGTGTAAAGACTATCACTAAGTATATAGAGATGCATCGCATACATAGGATAAAAGTCAGTGGCATTCGGTTCTTTCTGCCTACTCCGTAAAAGAAATTGTTCTTAAAAAATATATATAGATATATAAAAAATGGCAAATAAAAGACATAGATATTAATGTAGAAATCCATTGCAATGTTTTTATATGCTCTGAATAATAAAAGAAATATTGAAAGATGTTGTGGACTCCATAGTTTATTGCTAGCCACTTAGAGGCCACTCTTTTTACTTTAAAAATAATGTAATAATTTGATTTGTTAATTTGTGACACAAGAAAATATACCATTTTATTTTACTCATTTTTGTATTGATTTATTGTATATAGTTATAAGAGTAGATGCAATAGTTTTCTGCACATAAAGACATGCATTTTTGGTTTACACAAAATTTAAACCAATTTAAAATGTAAGCAATATTTTTTAAAAACAAAATCTTTAAATTTGAATTCCGAACAATATGGGTCCTTTAAAATAATTTGCTAAAAGCCCCGTGTTGGCTTGCTTAATCCGCCAATCAGCTAATAGATATATGATTCCGTGTTTTCCGTTCTTGAAACAAATGAAATTACATTGAATTACACATTTACGGATCCAAGATGCAAATAACACTATCCGGTGGTTTCTACTATCCTTTTACCAAAATACACTCACCTAATTCTCCTAATAATCCAAATACCTAATACTCTAGTCGATCTCTATTGTATTAATTTACTGGTAAAGACTATAATAGAATAGCAGAGAGGTGCAGGTGGACTCACTACCCCCTCTGAGTTATAGACCGTTTTGTCTCCTTCATTACTTTTAAATTTTATTATTGTATGGGTAGCAATTGTATTAGTTTTTGTTTGAAATAAATAAAGATGATTAATATAATTTCCCAAAATAGTGCTCAAAAGTAACTAAATAATACGCAAGTTTCTTGTTCGTTCTTCTTGTCATGAGTCTTCTTCTATATATAAGTGGAAACAAAACATAACATACAAATGCTTAGTTTAAATTTATTGAAATAAAGATTATTAGTATTTTATTCTATACAACAATTAACAATGTTATATTCAAATAAGATCACATAGAAACCTATATTTTTGCCACGTAAAATAATACAAACAGGGAACTATTATTGGAAATAGCAACACAGCAGGGGTTTGTAGTCAAAAGTAAAATATTTATTAACAGGACTTTTGAAATCAACACTAATTTTGGTTATAAAATTCAAAATTGTCAAATTAATTCGATATAAATATTTTTGGTTTTATCCTAAAATGATTTTATGAAGAATTTAGAACAAAAATATTGAATTTGTAAATCACTTCCGCAGACTATTTTCTACGTTGCTTGTTGCTAACTTCAAGACAGTGAGTAAGCGAGCTTGACGACCACGAATACTAAACGCGAATGTCCATCGTCTGAAGACTAAATTTCATTGTCTCGTTGAAACGCAAAGCAAAATTCTGGCAAAATTGTGCGCGTTCGTGCCCGATGTCTAGTGCTGAAGTCGCCGATAATTCCGTTGACCCCCCGGCGAAAAAGCGGAAGCTAAACACAGGAGAATCCCGTTCCAATTCCTCTGCAATGGCGAACAATGGAACGCGTGTGGAAGATGAAATCGACGAGAGCTTGTATTCGCGACAGTTGTACGTGCTGGGACACGATGCTATGCGGCGGATGGCCAACTCGGACGTGTTGGTGTCAGGGCTCGGTGGTCTCGGTGTTGAGGTTGCTAAAAACGTGATATTGGGTGGTGTGAAGTCGGTCACTTTACATGATGAGCGGACGTGCACAGTCGCCGACCTGTCCTCTCAGTTTTACTTGTCCGAGAAAACCATTGGGCAGAATCGTGCTCTGGCGTCCTGCGAGCAGTTATCAGAACTGAATCACTATGTGCCCACTACCGCCCACACGGGGCCTCTGACTGAGGAGTTCCTCAGTAAATTTAGTGTTGTGGTGCTGACGGGGGCGTCGCAGGCAGAGCAGGAGCGCGTGGCGGCCATTACGCACGCCAAAAATATTGCCTTGATCATTGCAGACACAAGAGGTCTGTTCTCTCAAGTGTTCTGCGATTTTGGCCCCGAGTTCTCGGTGGTTGACGTAACAGGCGAGAACCCAGTTTCTGCTATGGTGGCGGACATTACACACGAGTATGAAGCAGTAGTCACATGCCTGGATGACACTCGTCATGGTCTTGAGGATGGAGACTATGTCACGTTTAGTGAGGTTTGTGTGTTTATATGTTACTTATATTATAAATGCGGAAGTTTGTGAGTATGGATGGTTAAATGGATGTTTGTTACTCTTTCATGCAAAAACTACAGGAAATTTTAGTCAAATTTTACAATAACATAACTTATACATCAGAATAACACATAGGCTATAAATTTCACCCGGATGAAACCGCAGGCAGAGCTAGTATTATTATAAATGCAAAACTCTATATCTGTATTTGGTTTTTCTCTTATTTAAATAATTTGTCAATATTATATATTAAAAAAAATGAATTAACAGATTATTACTAGTTTATATTAAAACTTATACTGTAACCAACTGTTATTGTTTCAAGAAAAGGGTATAAACTATTTGTTTTATAAGCAATTTTTAATTCAATGACACAAATCATAAATCTTAATCTTAATAACATTATAAATGCAAAAGTTTGTGAGCTATGTCTGTTACACTTTTATGTCAAAACTACTGAACAGATTTTGATAAACTTTACAGTAATATAGCATATGCATCAGAGTAACATATAGGCTGTATTTTTTTATGAAATTAAAGGGGTGGAGACCACAGGCACAGATGGTTGTAAATAAAGAAGTCTATTATGCATTTTTAATTACAATTTTTTCATATATAAATTGTTACAATTATTACAATCTGTAATAGTTTTGTAATAATAATATGAACAACTTACATATGTAACAAAAATAAATATAATATAAAAGTACACAATAAAGGTTTTTTAAGTCATTTATCATAAGTAACCTAAATAAATTATCTAAAACCAATTCAATTCCTTTGTAATGATAATCAAAGGTAGCCACTTTGTTTACAATGGCTCATAATGCCTAAAAGATATGAAACTGCAATATAATAAATAAAAATCATTTACTCTCTACAGTAAGTACAATAATATCTTATATCTTATTATTATATAAGATATTATTGTACTTACTGTATTATGACAATACAACGAGTTCAAAACTATATATTGAAACAACTTTCGGATGCACCATGGTTTATAAAAACAACTGAGATCCACAAACTACTTGATATTCCCAAGGTTAAGGATGTAATTAATGACTACAGCAACAAATACAAATCACGACTACACAGGCACCCAAATAAATTCGCTGGGCAACTTACAATACCTGAAAACTTGCGTCGATTAAAGAAAAGGCGTGATATATTTGACCAAGATACTCAGACAGGACTGACTTTTTAAGAGCGAGGAGCTGTTCTACTGAGAGTGGCACTCTACCTGTTACATATGGAACACCACATCTGCTTATAGTCCATGTGACTGATTGCAAGATATCAAATATAAAAAAAATATATATTATTATTATCTTATATAGCATAATATCTTGGGACAGATTTACTGAGCTTGTGTTATGGGTACTAGACATCTGTTATGACGACTAGTACCCATGTTATGATTATTATATAGACACATTTTGTTTAAATACATCATTAATAGACACAGAAAACACCCAGACTGATCTGACAAACAAAAGAGCATCATGCAACACTCATCACAAGAATGAGCAAGAAGCTCATTCTTATTGTGAGCGAGTCTGCATTCCAAATTTGTTTTTATAGTTTGTATATTTGAATAACATTATTATTATTTTTATAAACAATGATACTCAAATCAAACCTATGACCATCAGAAGTCTAGTGGTTTAGCATTCCAAACAGCTAGACCACTGGTGAAATATCAGTAATACTTACTATAGGGATGATGCATAATAATTTTCTAATTATCTATTTAGTAATATTGTTGTAATATATATGTTAGGAGATACTAAATTTGGTAGAAAACACATGTACTGAGTGTACATGTGTTTTTTACCAAATGTAGTACAGACAGGCTGGACAGAAAACCAGAATGAATATTTCTAAATACCACAAGTACAATATCTATATATATATATATATATATAACTCAAAGGTGACTGACATAGTGATCTATCAACGCACAGCCCTAACCACTGGATGGATCAGGCTGAAATTTGGCATGCAGAAAGGATTTTTATTAATTCTACCCCAAGGGGATGAAACTGTCAATTTTAAAATTCCACCCCTAAGGGTACTCGAGTGAAGCCGCTGGCAAAAGTAACAGTTCTAAAAATGTTAGTTTATAATTAAAATGCATAAATTAAGAGAATACTTTTTATCCAAAATATTCAAAACATTTTTTTTTTATAATAAGAGAATAAAGCTCAAGACTTACTCCTTTTTGCCATAATAGTTTTTTTTTAACAAAAAATCAAAAGATGTTTACTCATGTAGGTCTGTTGCAGACTCTTATTATATCAAATCAAATAATAGATTTCAGAGTGTTTTCAAGCTAAGAATAACTGATAAGAAACTCAACTCTTATTCTTTTCAAAAAGAGTTTGTTCATGTTTATTAAATATAGATTTTTTATTATTCTTATCATATTTCTTATTTATTAAATTTCTTGTTTTAGATCCAAGGGATGACTGAACTGAATGGTTGTGAGGCGAGAAAGATAAAAGTTCTCGGCCCATACACCTTCAGTATCGGTGATACAACCAGCTTCTCCAAGTACGAAAGAGGTGGTATCGTTACACAAGTCAAGATGCCCAAAAAACTCCACTTCAAACCTCTGAAAGAATCCTTCAAGAGCCCAGAGTTTGTGATCACCGACTTTGGAAAGTTTGATTACCCCCAACAGCTGCATGTGGCATTTGCAGCTCTCCATAAGTACCAGGAGAGTGAAGGTGGTCTCCCGAAGCCCTGGAATAGTGCTGATGCAGCCAAGTTTCTTAATTATGCAAAATCTATATTAACAGACCAGGAAATCTTCAAGGATGGTGAAATAGAATTGAATACAGATCTCTTGGAAACTTTCAGTAAGGTCAGTCGTTTAATTATTATATAATATTTACATTAATATGGAATTCAGCAATTACTAATAGAATTAAGTCTCTTGATATAGAAAGGTAGTAAAAAATCGATAAAATTGAGGAGTTGCGAGATATCTGGGTAACTCTGAATTGTTATTGACGTGGACTAATGGATCCATTGCTAGCAATATACCATGTATATCAGGTTGACTTCCACACGGTACCTTCTGGAAACTGGTCAACTGACCTGATCTCATGCTCACCTTATCATCCTCCACTAGTGCCCCGCCAACATAAACCTTTAGGCGAAATTAACAGATTCTCGCTAAATGTAAATATGAAAGTAATAAGAATACGGTATTTAAACCAAAAAGTTGTTTTTTTATCTGTCTGTCTGTTGGTTTAAGTTTCTTTATTAAAAGCATATTGTAAGCAGAGTCTATCTGCGAAGATTGCTTTGCGTTGCTTTCAATCAAGTGGGCCATTTTTTCTTGTCTACCATTTTTATAAAACAACATACAGGCCTCGACTTACGTCCTTTATCCTTTGTTATAAATGCAGATTTTTTTTTAATTCCGAGTCCGTGTGGATTTACATACCCTTGAGTTTTACATGTAAACATATGAAAAAATATGACGACTCACGTGGTTTCGATTTTCGTCGCATATTTTTGAGAACCTAACATGCCGTAAGTTCCACGCGGTTCCCCCTGGAAACCATCGTGATAAATTCTTGGTGAATTTGTCACGATGGGCTAACTGACCTGACCTCATTCTCATCTTATCATCCTCCACTGGTGCCCCGCCAGCGTAAACCGTTAGCGCAGGCGGGTGCACCATTCCATTATCATCCACAAAAAAAAAACATGCCGTAAGTACGAGGACTGCCTGTAGTTGTAGATATGGTTATCTATACTCTATACATATAAATAAAATTGGAGTGTCTGTTTGTAATATTGAAGTAATCATTTTTTACTACATGCATATGAATATAAATACGGTACATATACCAAAATAACATTTTTTTCAATTGTTTGTCTGTCTGTCTGTTTGTTCCAGCTAATCTTTGAAATGGCTGAACCGATTTTGACGGGACTTTTATTGGCAGGTAGTTGATGTAATAAAGAGTAACTTAGGCTACTTTTATTTTAGAAAAAAATCTTTTATTTTAGCAAAATGAAGTTAAATTCCACGCGGACGAAGTCGCGGCTGCAACTATTGTATTTAAAAAAAAATCTCATCTGCTCATATTCAGGTTTCATCCGGGGATTTGAATCCAATGAACGCAGCAATCGGTGGTGTGGTGGCCCAGGAGGTGATGAAGGCCTGCTCCGGCAAGTTCCATCCCATCGTCCAGTGGCTGTACCTGGATGCCATTGAGTGCCTTCCCAAGGATAGATCAGGACTGACCGAAGAATCCTGCAAGCCCATAGGATCAAGATATGATGGTCAGGTTGCAGTTTTCGGACGAGATTTTCAGAAGAAGATTGGGGAACTGAAGTACTTTATTGTTGGTGAGTTTTTTTTATGACTACATACAAACTGAGTAACAGTACGTCTGATGGTAAATGGCAACTGTAGCGTTCACCATATATACGTGAACAGTACATAGGTATGTCCGTTTGAAACAGACATAAACATTTGTTTAAAAATCCATATATATATATACTTCAATATGCAATTAATTTTATTTATTTTTTATTGCTTATGTTAAAATTTTTGCAGAATATAAATAAATAATATAAAATATAATATAATAGCTGTTCCCGCGACTTCGTACTCGTGTTAAAGTGACCTGGACCAAATAATCAAAAAAATATTCAATACTCTAATCCAAAAACGGTAAAGAAAAAGATTTCATCGTCCTAGCTTCATAAATAATGATTTTCCATATAAATTTTCATCCCCTATTTTATTTCTCCTTAGCGTAATTTTTCTACAAACTGTGAATGTCATATTTATTTGTATTTAATCAACAGCCTAAAAATTAAGTTTAAGCTTCTAGAATTAAAAGTTAAAATACTTCCAAACGAACTTTTATGTACTCTTTCAATACCTTACAGTCCTTTTATAGGCTATGTCCTTTCTCAGTTTTATCTCTTTCTCTCTTTATATTATCATAAATAGAACAGAATAGAAAATTCTTTATTCAAATATACTTATATTTAAGTACTTGTAATATAAATCAAAAGCTATCTAATTCTGTACTGAATCAAACGTTCTTATCCAATATACTAAATTACAAAGAATTTAGTTACTAACAATACAATGCTTTTGCTAGTGTCATATCAATTTTATTACTATTATACATTTTCTTATCTATAAATGAATAATTTACGTTGAAATATCTTAGTCTAAGTGTGGGGTAGATGTTTGTGAAGGTAGATTTATATCTGATGAGTCGTGACGTGAAGAGTAGTTTTCACATCTATATATCATATTAGCTGTACCCGCGACTTCGTTCGGGTGGAATTTAACAAAAATGTTGTTTAGATATTTTTTCTAAAATAAAAGTTGGCCTGAGTTAGTCTTTGTTATGTTAGCTACCTGCCAATGAAAGTCCCGTCAAAATCAGTTCAACCATTTCAGAGTTTAGCCGGAACAAACAGACAGACAGATAGACAAACAAAAATAGTAAAAAATGTTGTATGTTGTTGTTGTATGTGTAATTTTGGTGTATGTAAAAAACGGTTATTTTATATATTACAAACAGACACTCCAATTTTATTTATATGTATACCGTTAGCGCAAGCGGGTGCACCATTTCATAATCTATTAAGAAAAAAATGAATTACTCTTCTGGCGATAAAAATGTCGTCAACCTCCATTGAGTCATTGACCTACACGCTAAGTCACTCTGCTCAGAACAAACTCGTTTAATGATTCATTAAGCTGATGATTTCATAGTATCAGTCAACAGGTAAATATTATGTAATATTATAAATACGAAAGTAACTCTAGTAAGTAGTAGTAAGATATTGACGAGGATCATGGTCTACATATATATATAAATATATTATGATTGTTTGTGTCGGTCTGGGTGTTTTCTATGTATATTAAGTATGTATTTACGAAAAAAAATATTTGTATTTGTATCAGTTATCTTAATATTATAAATGCGAAAGTAACTCTGTGAGTACGTCTGTCGCGATTTCGCGTCTAATCTACTGAACCGATTTAAGCGTAATATGGAAAACACATAGTCTGGACCTATGATTCCCAAAGTGGTCTATATCGACCCCCAGGGGTCTATGACAAACTGCAAGGGGTCTACGACAACGGTCATCTTGTTGTTTTTACTTTGTTTTTAACACTAAACTTTACTACAGTTAGAAATTTACAAAAAATCAATAAGAAAGAATAGGGGTCTACCTAAAACTGAAAAATATGGCAAGGAGTCTATGACACAAATAAGTTTGGGAACTTCAATTCTAGACCCTTAGAAAGGACATACTTCTAGTCTAGGGATATCATTATTAACATTTATTAATAATTCCAGGCCAGTTGCCACAGCATATTATCTTTCTTATGTATAATTCTCGTGTCTAAGATATTCTATTTTTATATCTCTCAGTGATAAGCGTGGCCTAAACCAATTTTATTTTTTAGGCAAAATTTCTAAAAGAAGTTTAGAATTATTGAAAAATTTGAAATTATTTAAGGAATGTGTGTATTTGACACACATTCCTAAATTTATACCCTTCTATCACCATCTATATTTTAATATTGATATTAATTTATATGGCAACACAATTTTATTGGAATCATTTATTCATGTAGGACATTTTAGCCGCTTAGGAAGGTCAATTTTTTTCCCAGCCGTCCAGTTCAGTGCATGGATTCAATTGAGAAGAACTGGCAAGAAACTCTATTGAATTTCTTACTATTTTTTAAAGCCAGTTTATTTACTTATATAGGTCTATGTGTAACATGTAATTAAAACCCCGTGCATGAACAATTATTGCCATGCACGCTCGTTATTCAAGTAATCGTTAGTTACAATATAAAAACCTTCTCACCTTGAAACTAAATAACATTAATGACGATCGATTATCCTGTTTAAACTAGGTATAGCGGTTTAGCACACGCCTTACTTCCGATGGTCGCGTGTTCGATTCCTCGCACGGCACAAATATTTATATTCATGAGTATGATTGTTTGTATCAGTCTGGATGTTTTCTATGTATAATGTGTATTTATTTACGAAAAAAAATATATCTATGTATATGTATCAGTTATGTAGTACCCATAACACAAGCTTTAGTTAGCTTAACTTGGGTCTAGAGGGCGCTGTGTGAATTGTCCTGAGATTAAATTAGTTGTTTAACCAGTTGGTTGTATATTTAATATATTTTCTATTTGAGTATTTAATTGAATTAGTGCTAATTGGTAGTTTGTATTCACACACTTCAACTTAAAATGTAAAGTAACAATAAAATTATTCATAAGAGCAATACACAGGTTTCCTGCTCGTTCCTCTTGTGATGAGACAGCTTTCCGAATGAGCGGTAGATTAAAAAAAATGTGATGACTATACAAAAGTGGTTCAATGTAAGTTTATTTGAATAAATGATTTTCTATTCTATTTTATTCTATTATTATTACTCCAGGCGCTGGTGCAATCGGCTGCGAGCTGCTAAAGAACTTCGCAATGATTGGAGTGGGCGCTGACGGTGGGGCCATCACGGTCACCGACATGGACCTCATCGAGAAGTCCAACCTCAACCGGCAGTTCCTGTTCAGGCCCTATGACGTGCAGAAACCGAAATCCAGCACTGCTGCTAAGGTAATCTTTTTTTTATGACATTTGAATGGCAAACAAGCTTATGGGCCATCTGATGGATAGTAGATGGTCCATCAGAGGGTCAGTGATAACTGCCGCGTATGTATGTAATATGAAATTTCGCACACTTATTTATTTATTTCTAAGGATTACCAACACAAGATGCAGCAATAAGTTAAGTTTTTTTTTTATGTTAAGTAAACATTATTTCTATTTGCTTCACGTTGCAGGCAATCAAACAAATGAATCCATCGGTGAACGTGATCGCTCAAGAGAACCGAGTGTGTCCGGAGACGGAGTCAGTGTATGATGACCAGTTCTTCGAGGCACTGGACGGCGTCGCTAACGCGCTGGATAATGTCGACGCTCGAATTTACATGGACCGCCGGTGTGTGTACTACAGGAAACCACTGCTGGAGAGCGGCACCCTAGGCACCAAGGGTAACACGCAGGTAACAGTAATAACAATATCTTAAATGATGACCTGACATAGTCTGGTTGCCGAATAGTCAAGACTAGGCTTTCAAAAGAGATTCAAACTCTATTCATCGTTGATGCCTCTTAGAGGTGAAACACTTGTCAAAATATGGGTCCACTAACGGTTAGAATTTGACCAGTAATTTGTAAGGTCATAACGTGGTGATCATCATATCACTTAATACTGGCTTTAAACTTCTTTTCTCAATTGAATCTGTATACTGAACTGGTTGGAAGAATAATATGAATGCATAAAACTTGATGTTCATGAGTGAAGAATAATCATTTCTGATTTGATTTATATCGCCCTAAAATAATTTGTTTATATTATTTGCAGGTCGTAGTACCCTTCCTGACAGAGTCGTACAGTTCATCCCAGGATCCGCCCGAGAAGAGCATCCCCATTTGCACCCTGAAGAACTTCCCGAACGCGATCGAGCACACGCTGCAGTGGGCGCGCGACGAGTTCGAGGGTCTGTTCCGGCAGGCGGCGGAGCACGCTGCGCAGTATTTACGTGACCCTCACTTCCTGGAGAGGACCATGAAGCTCCCCGGTAGCCAGCCGCTTGATGCTATCGAGAGTGTTCGGGTTAGTGCTTAACTAATTAAATATTCATATACATTTTTTTTCTGAGCATATTAGCAATAAGACTATGAGCGAATCCGTTCAGTGATGCTGTCATAAGTTGTTTCCCATTGGAAATGTTAACTCATCTGCAGCCTGGAGCTACTACCGGTCTCCTAGCTCCAGGATATGATTGCTTTATGATTGTCTCACATACAGTTCCACAGTGAATTATCGAGCAAATTCGTTAGGGTGATGGAAAAACCGTTGTTTGTATTTGGCTGCCAAACTTAAAATTTCCTCTTTCACTGTTCTAATTTTGCTTGCTCATGGTGCTTGACTTCAGTGTTATTTATGTTACTTGTGGAATGGTTCTTAAGAAATTGTTTTGTTAGTATAATTTATTAGTATTAAAGTTTTATGACAGCCTCTGTGGTCTAGTGATTTAACACACCGCCTTCCGATGGTCGCGGGTTCGATTCCTCGCACGGCACAAATTTTTGTATTCATGACTGTTTGTGTCGATCTGGGTGCTATGGGTGGGTATAATATGCATTTACGAAAAATCTATGTATTTGAATCAGTTATCTAGTACCCATAAGACAAGCTTTAGCTATCTTAACTTGGGTCTAGATGGCGCTGTGTGAATTTACCTGAGATTATTATTATTATTACATGAGTATACATACAAAATTTCAGCACGCAATCAATGAGCGGCCACTGAACTTCGCCGACTGCGTAACTTGGGGCCGTCTCCACTGGGAGGCGCAGTACTCGAACCAGATCAAGCAGCTGCTGTACAACTTCCCGCCGGACCAGCTGACCACGAGCGGCGCCCCGTTCTGGTCGGGCCCCAAGCGGTGCCCCGCGCCGCTCGAGTTCGACCCCACCGACGAGCTGCACGTCGACTATGTGGTGGCGGCCGCCAATCTGAGGGCCACCGTGTATGGGCTACCTAATTGTGTCGACCGGGAATATATCGCGCGAATCGCCACTAGTGTGCAGGTAATAATTTTATACTATACTACTTGTTACCAGTGAATAGAATAGAATAGAATAGAATAGAAAATCATTTATTCAAATAAACTTAATTTAAGCACTTTTGAATAGTCATAACTATTTGTTTTTTATCTACCACTCGTTCGGAAAGCTGTCTCATCACAAGAAGAACGAGCAAGAAACTTGTGTGTTGCTCTTAGTTCGTTAGAGTTAGAGTTAGAGTTCGTCTGCTATTTGTATATCCTTAAGATACAATTGAAATCAAATTTCATTAAGATTAATTTCGTTTAATTAGCTACTCACCATTAACTATGAACTAAATACTGCCCATGTTATCCTTTGCTTATGTAGAAGCTTGCTTTGCTTTAAAAGTTTTTTTAAGGGTATTTACCCTTTTTAAGCTTTTTACAAATTATGCTTTATTTATAAGTGTAGAGACCATAGAGTCCATAGATATCTATTTAAATGCAAGAAGCAGATTTCGAAACTGCATGTCAGTTTAAAAACTAAAATACGGACTGTCCTCCCTCTCTGTCTGAAATGTTAAATTAGAAAATATTGCAACACAGCAATACAACCAAAAATTTAACTTTGTTTTAAATGATATATTGAAAAAGTTAAGAAAATATTATAATAAAAATTTCAGGTGCCAGAGTTCAGTCCAAAATCCGGTATAAAGATTGCGGTGACTGACGCCCAACTGCAGCAGAACAACGACGAGATGGACCAGGACAGGGTGAAGAACATCATCGGCGAGCTGCCGCCGCCCGGGAAACTAGACAACCTCAAGATCACGCCGCTCGACTTCGAGAAGGACGATGATACCAACTTCCATATGGACTTCATAGTCGCCGCATCCAATCTCCGAGCGGCTAATTACAAGATACCTCCAGCAGACAGGCATCGCTCCAAACTGATCGCAGGGAAGATCATCCCAGCTATCGCCACCACAACGTCAGTCGTGGCCGGCCTCGTCTGCCTAGAACTGTACAAACTCGCCCAAGGCTTCAACACATTGGACATTTTCAAGAATGGCTTCGTAAACCTAGCATTGCCCTTCTTCGGCTTCTCCGAGCCCGTCGCTGCTCCCACCAACACGTATTACGACAAGAAATGGACCCTATGGGACAGATTCGAAGTGAAAGGCGAAATAACACTGCAACAGTTCCTAGATTACTTCAAAAACGAGCACAAACTCGAGATCACAATGTTATCGCAGGGTGTTTGCATGTTGTACTCGTTCTTCATGCCGAAAGCGAAGCGCCAGGAGAGACTGAACCTGCCCATGTCCGAGGTGGTCACCAAGGTGTCTAAAAAGAAGCTGGAGCCGCACGTGAGAGCGCTGGTCTTCGAGTTGTGCTGCAACGACGACGACGGCAACGACGTGGAGGTGCCCTACGTGAAGTACACTCTGCCTTAATAGAAGAACGTTACCACGAATTCACGAGCCAAAATTTCTTATAGTATTCAATTCGGCGACGTGGCGACGTCCGGTCTGGTGCATTTTACGCATTTAAGGCATAATAGTTGCCATTCCACGTAATGGTCCTACACGAATTACGCAATAAAGGGTATTTTTTAATGAGATTGTTGACGCGGATAGGTGTAAAATTGTTTTATATTGTCGCTCGTGACGTGAGTGGGCCATCCGTCTGGACGCCAGTGTACAGTGATAGTGTTGACTGTGTGACGTTTTGTTTTGTGCTTTAGAACACGCTTCTCCCTTCGATATTCATATATATTTATGGTAGTATAATTTGCTCACCCCACACGACATACGCGCTAGATTATATTTTCGTGAACGTCTAATTCATTTTATACCAAATTATCGGATATTTTTATGTTCAAATCAGATGGGTCTGTATATGGAAAGAAATAAATAAAATTTGAGCACTCCGTTGTTTCAATGAAACACCGCACATTGTTTTAAATTATATTTATTAGCTTACAAAATTGTTTGAACAAAAATATTACAATATAATCTCACTTCAATGCAGCCATATTATAGTTACATGTACTTAAATAATCTTTGGAAAGTTTTCTATAAAGAAGGCAAGTTAATAATATAAGAGAGGCCAATATGTTTCCAAAAGTAAGCGTAATGAGTTTGGCATTGTAGGTACGGTCTCCCAAGATCTTTCTAGAAAATTGCTAGTAAGTTTACCATAATAATTTTCGTATAACCAGAATTTTATACATAAATTTGCTTATTTCTTATAAACTGTATCCTATGTTTCTGTATCAACATAATTTTTCACAATTTCCTTTACAATTTGGCCGGCTTAAGTCTATTTTTAAGTGATATTGCATTTAATGACTGATTTTTTATTTTTTAATCTAGAACCATATTCTCGCTTATTGTAACATGAATATCATTAAACAAGTCCTAAAAATAATTTATAATATCAAACTGCGATCTAAACTCATCATATTTGAATACTGCCCTGTGATTAAAGCCGTAGTTTTTTTTAATTTAAAATAAAATATTAACAACCTGGTATTTAATATTACTTATAAAAAGAATTTTAGTTGGTCGGCGCCAAAACTCATAAAATCAGTTACCAAAAATTGCAGTGGAGATACGAAAATAAATTGTGCACATTACATTATGAACACAGATTAAATTTACGAAATTATTTTATTTTAGAATAAAGTTTAGAAACAGTTGTTCAAATTTTTTTTTCTTGGCTGTCTACTGTACACAATTTATAAACGGCATAGCGTGATTTTGCTCGTGATAGCTTGTAACAGGCGTCGAAATATCGGGAGATCATCCTTACTAAATGTTTATACATAAAAATAAGGATATTTGTTACGCTTTCCGCAAAAACTACTGAACCGATCATCATGAAACTGTACACATGTACTTGGAGGTAATAGAATGAACATAGGATACTTTTTATTTAAAGAATACAAATATATTTTATAAAAAATAAAATATTCAACATTATGTTACTTCAGCGCCATTCAGCCGGTAATGAAGTTATGCGAGCGAAACCGCGGGTAAAAGTTAGTAAATAATATATCTCTTATTTATGAGCTCCCGATACTTCGATTAAAATTCTTTGTATAATGTGTACAATTATCAATTTTTCTTCTTGGTCAACTGTGTACAGTTTTATGAACATACAACTAATCTTGTATAAAAAAGTCCAGTACATAATTATAAGAAAATCCATTGTTTTTTAAAATTATAGACAGATATAAGATTACGAAGTGACTAGAAGTGTTAGCATATGTATAACACTATGGTTGTGATACTTGAAATGGATACAATGTCCACAAACCTGTAATACAACCCTGGTTTGTTCTCTAAAGCATATAGCAGACAATAGGCGATATATAAAAAAATGCAATATAATTGAATTACAATAATATTTCATACAGAAAGGGGTAAATTAACAATTTAATTATTAAATACAGAAGCGTAATAGTTAGTAATACAAATATATACAATACAAAAAATCCACCTGTATATACTCTACTACATACTATGTGCTTCTACAAATTAATAGGCACTTCTGCTTCGGAAGCAAGTGATTTTTACAGCTACAATTCACCTTTGTCTCTTAACTTTTAATTGCAATTTTTAACCGCCTCAAGTATATGAAATAGCAATTTTAAAGCATATATTACAAATATTATGTAGAATAAATATTATTAAATAATTATAGGTACATTTAGTTCTTTATTAACTATAATTCCAAACGTCTATTTAAACCATTATATATTTTATTTGTTGAGTAGCTTTGTCCTTTTCTCTTTAACTAGTCAAAGAGTGACGAAAGATTTTAATAGGTCAGGTCATTTTTATATCTATAATTAGGCTTAACACGTTGCGGCAATTGTTATCAATCAGTCCAAAATGATAATTTGATTTAATCACATTATATTATTAATAACTTTAATTCTACTGCATTGTTATTGTAGTGTATGTGGAAACACTAGCGGTTTATTATCTGTAGTCTCGCGCCGAGTGTACACGGGCCACGGTGCGCAAGAGAGGAGATATTCCCCGCGCAAGCGCCGCGGAGTGAAGACGTGGATCTGTGGCTAACGAGCCGATATTATGTCGATAACAACTTACAGACATAAACAGATAATTATGAGAGATATTTAATTAATTATAAGCAAGTAAACATTTAAACTACGATTTAAATCGTAGTTGGCCGTCAACGTGTTAAAACAAGTATTTTAGTGTCAACAACACACTTGTGACACCCTTGGCGCCTCAGGCGTGCATAGGTTATGGTAACCGTTTAACATCAGATGGACCGTATGCTCGTTTGGTACCATCGTAGTATAAAAATTAGTTTGCAGACAAATTTGATATTGAACAGCAATTTAATAAATTGATAAGTATTCTATCGATAAAAAAAATAGCATCATGATATCGTGATGATGATAAATACAGATAATATAAAAAAAATCTACGATTTCACAATCTGCTGATTGATATAAAACTGCATATATCTGATTATCCATCAATTAAATTTATTTCTACTAGTAGCAGAATAACCTATGTAAAGATTAATATTAAATATTAAAAATAATCATATTGTATTGCAGTCTAATTATTAAAATAGGCAACCATCATGGATCTGAGGACAATCCGCGTTTTTAAAAAAAGAATGTTTGTACAGCACTGCCATAACTTTTTAAAAATTTTATTTTATTTCTGTCTATTTTTTAAAGCCAAGGCCAAGGGAACTCGCCCTTATACAGCCATGTCTGCATGTTTTTAGTCTTCTTAATTTAACACTTTTATTTTATTATATTTTTAAAATACCCGCCATTGACATTTATTTTTGGCGCGAAAAAATCTAACCTAACTTAACAGTTAAGGGGTGATTTTGTATGATATATGTATATATAAGTAACCCTGGACAATTCACGCAACACCATCAAAACAGAGCTTGATATTACAACTGACAGAAATAAAGTTGTTTTTATGTAAATATGTAATAGTCATAAATATAAATGTTTATATTTTGCGGGGATTGAACCGGCGACCATCGTAAGTGGGACGGTTAAAGTGTTGTCTAAATAGATACTGCAGTAATACTATATTTATTGCATATTACAGTTATTTTTGACTTTGTATAAAGTCTGTCTCCGTTTTTCAAATTCAGTATTAGTTTGACACTTCCTGTGTTAAAATATTATTAGTGTAAATTATAATTAAAGTGGTAGTAGCAATTTTAATAATCATAATTCGTTAACTAATTTAATCTTGTGACTTAAATATGCACCATTTCAGTTGAACTAAAAAAAAACAACTTTGTAAAATAAAAAAACACCAATACATATTTGAATATCTATGATTTATGACGCTATCAACACTGCGTATTAATAAGTAAGGCTGCTGATATACAGTCGGTTAGTTTCACTAGATTTCTACGTCCTTAAGAGATCCGCCAATTGGATTGGAGCATTACTCGCATTCTGACAACCTGACGTCCGACCCGACTGTATAACAACGGCCTAATAAAACCTTTAAATGTCAGATTTGTACCAGCAGTGAGCGAAGAAACGTGGTAAGCAGGGGTAGGGTAGGTGCGGCGGCGGCGGCGACTGTCAGCGCCACGGGCGACGCCGCGGGCTGGGCATATAGCGAGAGCGAGCGGCCGACCCACACTTGTCGCCGCTAAACGTTTCTGTACACATTACAAACATGTTTCTTTAACTATTTGCGGCGTCCTGCGTGAATTTAAGGAGAGATGATCGAGCAATTAAGACTTCGTGACGTCACAATTAAAAAAAAACATATAGATACTAGTTGTGCGTAGAATAGTGACCCTGGGTAGCATTTTATTTAGTTTTTTTAAATAAATATGACATTCAAAGTTTTTTGAGAAGAAGAGAAAGTCAGAGAAACTTTGAATGTCATATTTATTTATATTTAATCAGCTAAACAATAAGTTTCAAGCTTTAAAAATGACGATACTTCCATGCAACCTTTCAGCTACCCTTTCAACCCCTTATATCCCATTTTCTGCATTAAAAACTAGCTTATGTCCTTTCTTAGGATCTAGCCTATATGTGTCCAAAATTTCATTTATATCAGTTCTGTAATTTTCGCGTTAAAGAGACACAAATAGACAGACAGACTTCTTTTCGCATTTATAATATAAATAAAGATTAAATGGGAAAGATTTTTTTTAAAAGCAATCTAAATTAAATCTAAACTTTTGTATTAAAAATGGTACCTAAAATATTTCTCGTAGACTAAGAAGATATGCAGGGTTGAATCATGTAATTTTTTTAAACTAATCTGTTGGAAACAGCTGGCCTTTAAAGTTTCACCAGACGATAGGGGGCGAGGGCAGATGGCACTCCAAACCCGCGGAAGGACTTATGGAGCGGCTGAAGGCCAACTCCCGCCTGACGGATACGACTTTAGTCTAAGGGCACTACTAGGAGTCGTACCCTCGGCTCAGGTCGTCGTAATTTCTTTCCTAATATAGAAGCCACAGTAAACCACTAAGCAATTCTTACTTGCGTAGTACTTAAGTATATATAATTTAATGATATATCATGCTAACAAAAAAAAGTTTTCTAATAACATATGCATAACATTACAAATAAAAAGAAACATCTAAATCGTCATGCAACAATGACAATAACAATCAAATTGTTAAATTTGTGATGCGATGATTGTTAATTATAGCACAGCCACATAATTGAACGGAAAACAAGCTTGCCCATGTTGCCATACAAAATGGCGGGATATCGGCCATTTTTTTTATTCAGTTTTTTACGGCCCTGGGAACTCGGCCAGAAACTAGGGTTACCATCCGTCCCGGGTTCCCCGGATTCGTCCTAGTTTAGAGCGCATCCGGGGAGCGTCTGGGATAATGTAATTTTTTTAATTTTAATACTAATATGATACTAATAATTTGTGTTTTATTATAAATACAAATAAAATCGAACTGATTATTAAAACAATATGTAATGCAAGGCAACACTGGTAAGCCTACCTTACCAGTGCTGCCTTTTTTGAAAGCAACGAATAAAACGAAATATTTGAATTGTGCTACTTTTCTGCTTAAATTAAATTTCGATGCCATATTATTATTCATAGATCTTGTTACATTTCAGAACAAAATACAATTTTCTACAACATGTACAGTATTAGTTAGCAAACTGACACTTTTATGACGAAAGCTCGGAAGCACATGCCGATAACTAGGCAAATAATATTCATAGCTGGCAACATTAATTTACCATAATTGGATTGAGTCATGAGCGAGCCCGACGCGGGGCGCTTTGCACGCGTTGTAAACACACCGCTGTGGCTTTGTGACATTATGTCCCTGTTTTACATACATTATTTAGTTTTTTATGTTACTGGAATTGGAAGCAAGGCAAATGGCCCACCTGACGGAATCCGATAACTGTAGTTGACAGATCCTGTATTTCACTGCCATAACTCACTGTCAAAATTGCTTGCAAAATAAGCCAGCTACGGTAGACAAAGTATGTTTATATAACCTAATGACAAACAAACTGAAGACCGAACATACAATCTGTTCTGCTAAAGCAGATTTCGGAAATTGGCAACCTTTATATACATCAACACCACCACGGTTGCCCTTCCGAAAGATAAAGGTATCATGACTTCGTACCCTGAAATTTCCCTGTCATATTTCCTGGTCACTCTATTCTCCCAAGTTTGAATTTAAAAATTAAATTGTATTATTGTAAACATGTATAACATTAATTTGAACAGAATAATCTGAGTTTCTTGTCAGTTCTTCTCATCTCGAAATCATTCCGGACTGACAGTAGATTTGACATATCATAATTCTGTAATAGACCTACATGAATGAAGATATTTTGAATTTGAATTTGAATATATCATCATTGATTGAATACAATCTACATAAAGATGTAAACAAGACACTACGACGACTAACGAAAGGAATGGGTTAGATAGAAGTTCCTACACATTGATTTCTTCGTCACTATTTAATTTAAAACGAACGTCCTAATAAACAAGTCAAGTAATTTATATTTACTCATTTCTACAAAGGCACTCACTTTTAAAATCACTAATTTATTAGTGTATAACCATTATGAATTATCATAATAATATTTTACTTCTATAAGTAATTAGCCATATCTATTTTTAACATTAGAGTCTTTTCAATTATAAATATTTAATACTTGTTCTACATTTTCACATCAGCCGTTCTATTTTCTACAAACTAATTTATATTTAATGACCTTGAAATACTATTAAATTAACACTATTACTACAAAAATTATTATATATATTACTAATAAAAAAATGGAGTTGATATCAATAGAATTTAAGAACAAAATAAAATCATATATCGAGCAGCATAATTTTTACAATGTGACTGAATATCTGAATTACAATGTAAAATTTTGACATAATACTAAGCGATTTAATTTATTCTATAGGTATGTATATATTTTTTTTAATTTATTGTTTCGAATAATAAAATGTAATAAATAAAAATAATTTTATAATTGTAATTGTGACATAATTATCATACAAACAATTGTAATCACTATTGACATATGTATAATTAGTAGAAATCACGGGATCTTACCACGTTTTATATTTATATGCTGAGTTCCAGTTTACCCGTGATCATGGTGGTTGAAACACTGCCGAAATATCGGGAACTTAGCAAATAAATATAAATCGTGGTAAGATCTCGTGATTTTTCCTAATTATACGTATAAATAATGACCGCGTCAGATTTAAAACAGTATATACACTATTAACATGGTATTGTGTAACGAGAAGTGTTACATTTGTAAATAAAATATTATTAATATCAACTTATAAATTCCATATTTCATGTTCAATTAAAAATCTAATTGAGTTTTTACACAGTTTAATCACATTTACATTTCATAAGACATTTACAAAGTTTGAATCTCTATCTAGATTAGACTTCAAAGTAAACCTTCCAGTAAGTTCTTTTGATATCTATATCTAGACTAAACCTGCAAGTAAACTGCTGTATCCTATGGAATAGATAAAGTTAAACCTATCTCATAAAGGGCTTACTTAGTCAAAAGATTGTTGGTAACACTGTAATATATGTATTTGACTGTCTAAGCTCATATAATAGTTTATTCCTTATGTTTTAATTTTTATGTTATGTATTCAATTCATTATAAAAATGTATTCGACTGAAGGACTTGTATCCATGGTCATGAATAAAGCATTATTAAAAAAAATGTATTTGACTCACGGCTGTCGGTGGTGCCTGTGAACCGGTGGCGTGTTCCGCGCAGCGACCGACCGCCGACGCGTGCGATCGCCTGCGATCACCGCGCATCGCTCCGCCGACGTGCTCGTTACAAACGTCTCGTGCAGGGAGTAGCACGCTGCCGTGATCTGAAATGTGTCACGATGGATTCAAACAATATATATCTTAAAATTCAATATTTTTCTATACTTATATCTTTATTCAATCCTATATATTCCTAAACTTTGATTTTGGCAAATGCATCAACGTGCCATATCTTTGTAAAAGAAAAAAAAAACAATTAGCGTAATAGCAGTAATTTGAATTTGAATTTAAATGGATCTGTATTGTTGTAAACATGTACAACATTTATTTGAAAAGAATACGAGCTGAGTTTCTTGTCAGTTCTTCTCATCTCGAAATCATTCCGAACTGACGGTAGATTTGACATATCATAAGATTCTGTAATAGACCTACATGAATAAAGATATTTTAAATTTGAGTAACCATCAGTACATTTTACAGATTTTTTCTGTACTTATATCTTTGTTAAATCATATTTTCCTGAACTCCGATTTTGGCAAATACATCAACATATCAAGCCTTTGAAAAAGAAAAAAAAATATGTTATGATGACGCCCAATGTATTTTAGATGTAATCCTAAAATTTAAAAAAAAATTCTCGCTGACATGGCTAACTTGTCTTATTACTTTAACGCTTTACTTTTTATTATTTTAGTGTTAATTGGTAGTTTGTATTCACAGATACCAACTTAAAAATGTAAAGTTACAATAATTATTTAAAAGAGCTACACGCAAGTTGCTTGCTCGTTCTTCTTGTGATGAGACAGCTTTCCAAATGAGCGGTAGATTAAAAAATAAGTATGACTATACATAAGTGCTTAAATTTAAATTTATTTGAATAAAGAATATTCTATTGCTAGTTTGTAGTGTGTGGAAGTCTTAGTGAAATTTCACGTGAATCATTGAAACTTCAAGACGAGAATCATATCTTTAAAAAAAAAAACAGTAAGTCACAACAGCTAGTATTAACCAACATACGTATATAATATAAAACATTAGTTCATGCAATTTATACGAGAACTGGAATAAATTACACACATGCAAATTTATTCAACGGATGCATGCAGTTATTAAATTTTGCTATTGAATCTATTACTGAAGTACCTTGTTATGCTGACCTAGAGATATTGGTCAAGGAAAATAATGAGAACAACGACATTATTTGAACAATACTGTAATAGTATATTACGATATAAGTGCGTTATAGGTTATAAGGAAAGAAAGCGAGAGCATAATAGATCCGAGTTTGTATTAGCGTATTTAACGCACGTACATCTTACGACGTTTTTCACACTTGATTTTAAACTCAACCATAAAACTGTGATGGCGTAATGGAGCCGAGTGTGTTTACATTCAGCCACTTCCCGTGCCACTCGCGCTGCCGGAAATATTGCCGGGCGACAACTGAGCGAGAGGGTTGAATGTAAAAACACGCAGCCACTCGCGCTGCCAGTCCTTTGTCTAGCGCACGAAAAACCGACAATCGAGGGAGCGCCGAGCAGCGCGAGTGGCAACGCCGATGGCATGGGAAGTGTTCCCATTCGTGTTTACACTCTCGCGCAGCTCACTTCCCTGCCCACTCAGGCTGAGTGTAAATTGAGCATTAATTACGCACGTACATCGTACGACATTTTTCAACACACTTGATTTTAAACTCAACCATAAAACTGTAATGCACGCTGCAGCTTTCCCGCCGTTTTACTTTTTTTAAAACTGTTAACTGCCTATTGGTTGAGGTCACGCGGCAGTTCGAAATTTGATAAAAAAAAGCAAATATTGCGGTTATGGAATACAACTTCACTATTTGCGTTTATAACGCACGCGTGTTTTATGATATGCTTTATATATTGTGTCAGCATTTTATACCGCTCCGGGTCCATATAACGCCCACGGATTCCATTTTCCCTTCAGTACACCAAATACAAGCAAGCATCAGTCCATTCAATCATCGTGTACTCAATATATCAAGTTGGAAAGCATCCCGGACTTATCATTTACACATCATAGCATCCAGATTGTGTGGGTCACAGCACAGCAGACTCATACACATGGAAAACTGGTGAAATAAGATCCAATTTACGAGCAAGTGTGTTGAAAAATAAAATAAAGACATAAAACATATTTAATATTATAGCATTAAAATAAGTTAATCAAGCTGTTAGGTACATGTTATAAGGAAAGATACAAATATAGAGAGATTAAGATCGTGCAATGATAACCGCGAAGCTCCCAGTCACCTGCTGGATAAGCCGCCTGTGGAGGTCTACATCGGCGCCCCTGATGCCCTCCCTGTCCTGATGGAGCTGCAGCGCGCAGACCAGCGCGTCGCGTATAGTCTGCACCGTTGATTGCACACGCTCCGTTCGCATCAGGCGCCGTACCAAATACCCCTTAGCGTAAGCCACAATAGTAGTGGCCGCGGCGCGCTATAATTTTGGATTGTACATAAAATTGTGGAAGCTTGAAGAGACATAGACAAAAGATCGTGCACTGTTTATTGACAATCACAGACAATTTTCACTGCATTTGGAAGTAACAATGCAGTTGGGAAAGGGTGATAAAATATTAGTATTTGGATACATGAAGAAAGGACAGCACTGTAATTAGAACAAGGAAGACAGTACAAGAAAGTTGCAAAGCATAGTGTAAAAGGAAATATTTAAGAATATAAGGAAACATCATATATTTAAGAATCCCATGAAGCTGTATCTAAGAATTAAATAATACCTAATATAGTTAAAGAATATAGACATAGGACAAATAAATATGACATCATACTTATTAAAGTAGGTTATGATAACATTTGATAAAAAAAAAACATCAGGTTAGTACTATAAAGTAAACCAAATTAAAGTAGAAATACCTGTTGAGGTGTTGGTTGAAAATCTTTCACAGGTTTGGACCGTCGACCCATATTTTGGATAGTGTCCTCCACGCAGCTCATTGCAGTGTCTGACGACCTGCAATTTACACTCGTAGGGACAGGACTCTTATGAACCATCGCCAACTCTGCGCCGCAGAGATGGTTGATTACCATTCCATTACATGAATTACTGTCATCGGTACAGTCAGTAGGAAAAGTGACGTTCAGATCAGCTAAGGTATCGTTCGTTCGGTCTGTTAGAATCGCGTCATATTCGCGATCAGAGGACGCGCTCGTGTCGTAAATTAGTTTTCGCGATGTCCTGGAGGATGGTGAGTGAGTTCTAGTTCTGCTGCCATCAGTTTGAGGCCTCGAAGACTGACTACCATTCTGAGTGCGCGACTGTACTTGCTGACTTTTAATACTACTAGTTATGTCTCTACTCAGTTTCAATACGTCGTCACAGTGACTGATATAGTTATTGGTCTCTGTTAGAGTAGAAGATACTGGACTATCGTACACACTCTGCTCTGGAGATTTCGTGTTGATCAATTGACTTAAGCTCACGGGACCGCGGTCAATGACGACAGCACTTTTGTCATTCCAGGCTTCTTTTACTTCGATAGGTGATTTAGGGCAAATAGTTTTCAATTGCTTATAAAGCAAGTTGTTTTGTTCCTCAAATACCTGCTGAAGAAGCATTTGTTCTCTCTTTTGCTTCTCCACGAGACTCGCCATCTGGATTAGTTGTTGTTTTTGTATCTTTTCGTATAGTTCTTTGACCCGCGTAGCCGGATCTTCTGACTCAGAGATCAAAGGTTTTGGAGGAATATTCTCTTTCTTTTGCACGGTAGATTTAGGTGCGGGGGGTTCTTTAGCAGGGGTGTGATTGGCAGACGCATTTCTAACAGGACTCTGAGATCTCTTAATTCCCTTCTGGACAGGTTCTGACTTAGGCAATGATCTGGTTGCTACACTGTTGCGTCGTGGTTTGTCTTGGGTTAGAGATTTAGGACGTGGTGGAGAAGCTTGAGGTACTTTCTTATTTATAGTCCTATTCACTGGACTTTTGTTAAGTCCATTGACTTTCGATAAATTGGCTACATTTTTCTTATTCAATTCTACAGCCATTGATGACCATTTTACTTTAGCAGACTCAAGGTCCCAGCTTCTCCTCTTTTTACTTGGAGAGCTAAGGTTTGATAAGGACTCGCTCATTGATATGCAACTCATTTCAACACCTGTGTTAAGTGACTGCACTTCTAGATGAGCCAGTAATTGTGGACTGGGCTTTAGCAATGTGTATGACCTTTGTCGTACTAAGTTTGGTGCTTTTTGGGAATCCTTCATGCTGTCAGTATGTAAGTCATTCAGAGACCCTGTGAAGCTCTTAGAACTCAATGACGATGGCCCATCTTGATTTAAAGGGTAATTTGGACATGGATCTGACAAAACAGCCTTATCAATAGAGAAACTAAAATCTACAATATTTTGTATTCGTTTATCTTGCAGAGTGTCTACATCAGTTATCAATTCTTTTTGTATTTGTTTCTTAGGGAAATTGTAGTCTCTTTCGGGTACATCCATTAGTGTTTCCTTTTGTGGTGTTTTCGTTACTTTATCTAGACCATTCTTACTAGTTTCACTAATGTTTAGACTTAGGTCAGCAATAATATGTTCAGGAATTGAATTAAAAGACTGACTTTCAGGTGACTTTGAAGATGCAATATCAGAAATTTTATTATTATATTCATTGACTATTGGAAGAGATTTACGAGTATCTACAATAGATTGCTCTGAATATTTATCACATGGTGTTTCTTTTATTTTTCCTAAGTTAACATCATAAACTGCTTGGATCTCATCTTGCGGCAAATCATAGCTCTGCTCACACTCTGGAATTTCAGGGGCATCAGTTCTATCATCACTGGAATCTGAATCACTATCATTTACATATGGTTTGAGCACAGATATGCGCTTTTCAACTTCTTTTGCAAGCAGTTTATAATATTGCATCTCTTTCCTGCATTCTTTTGATAACTGCAATAAAAAAAGATTTTAATATAAGATAAATTATAGAAAATACATACTTACAAGGAAATTACAAATATCACCTTTAAATGGAGATTTAATCTAATTTTTTTCACTGTGGTAAATATTCTGAAGGCAAGGATAATTAGGATTTCTTCTATTAATAATAATAATTTGTACATATTATTTATTATTGCTTCTGTTAGTCTGCAAATGTATAAATATGGAATAAATCATATGTGAATATATGTAAACCATATTCAGTGCTCATTGGAGGACACTCTCTGTATATTTGGTACCAAAACCTACTTGGTAGATTCAGATATTAAAAAATAGTATAGGATTAAATTATGGCAATAGCTTATGCAGATATTGACTATTTGTATGTTTTAACAACCAAATTAAAGAATGGACTGCACTATTATCATATAAACTTTATAACTTGACTTGAACTTTTAGAGTCTTTACTATTTCAAGAATGTTATTAACTTAAATAAAATCATATGAAACTCATAAGAATTTAATATTTAATATCCCGACTTTAATTGTTTATGTAGATATTAAGTATTCATAAAGACTTGTTTTTTTCTTATCAATGGTAAAACCTAAATATATTTTGGCTAGACATACTGAAATGCACTAATAGATTAAATATTAAATTACCTAAATATGTCTTTTTTTAGGCTAAGAGTGTATAGAACATAAACTGAAATGCACTACTGTTTTGGCTATACTATAGTAAACATGTGATTAAATAGAGACTGGTTTAATTTATAATAATAAGCAAATTAGAAACTATTTGTTTAATTATGGCACCAAATATCTTTTACTGAACAGAGATGATGCGCTAAAGGTTTATCTTATCTATTTTATCTTTATTCCTTTTAATTAAGACCTAAAGTAAGATTATTCATTCCAGTCAGTAAAATGACTTTTCCAGTGTTGCAGGTTTTTAGTTCCAAATAAATAGTGATATGGTAGAATCAAGTTTTTACAATTAAAATTTAGTCGAGATTACATTTTTTTTATTCAATATCAAATTGCCTTTATATAAGTAAATAAAAATTATAGTATTAATTCCTCTGCATCTCTTTTTACATTTTTTCCCAGCTTTTGTAATAATGTTATAGTGAGAAATTTTAATATGCTGGTAAGGTCCTTATTTCTAAAATCATATTATTTAATATGATATGTATTAAATATTTAAAATTAAAAAATAAGTCTTTGATACCTAATAAAAGCACGCACAATGGCCCGAATGAGAGGCTAATTGCGGAGACTGGAGTCCAACATACCTAATAAAATAAAGCTTGACTAAATGTCTAAGTGTATTGATTGCAACTGGTAAATTCATTGGTAAATTGCATCTTAAGAAATTCTAAGTTTTAACAAGTATTTCCTACACAATGATATATGCAATATTATGTCTGTGGCTGGAGCGGGAACACAAGTACTATTTTAATTAAAAATCAAATACTAGAAAAAAAATGTGTATTTTTCCCAAAAAGGTTCATGGCGAACAGTGAAAGTAACAAGAAGAAGTCAAAAGTGACATATAAAAAATATAAATTTATAAAGAGAATGGTAGACAAGCTGCCAGCAACATTTTTTTTTTTTTGGTTCTGTTTTTCCCTTTTTAGGGAAAGGCAAAAGTCTGCCAGCAACAATGTCACTGGATAGAAAGCTAAAAGTCATGAGAATAAGGGTGAAGTTGAAGCTGGTCACATATAATAAAATAAATATTTTACTAATACTTTATCTTGTCTATAGAACATGTAAAAAAAAAAGGAAATTATAAATGGCCTTATTGGTAATTATCTATGCATTTGTTCCAGAAATTGTTAACATGGAGAGCATAACTTATGCCTGGTGATGGATATGAGTATTAAAATAAATAATCCTATAGTTTATTATTTTGTATTTATTTACTATAGTTATAAATTTCTGAATGAGTAGTATAATTACAAAAATGACTAAAAAGTGTGTAAGTATATTAAATTTATTGAAATACAGATTACTTGTATTTCTAGAAATATATTTTTTTCTTTAATCATTAGAGCACTGAATATGTCTAGAACTTTAGTAGTTATATTACAGTTATTCTTATAAGTTAGAGGCCAATATAATTAGTTCAATCACAGTTTATTTCCACTTACAACGGGCGGCAGCAGTGGAACTCCATTAATCTTCATACAGGACATGTACTGGCCCGCCTGCCGCACCGATTTCACGTCCCACGGATCGTTCATTTCGAAAATTAAGGATAGATCACAATATCAGCATCGGTCTCGCTGAACTGAGGCGCCGATTCAAGCCAATAACTACCACTAATTAATTGCCACTCACTCCCGTTACATAGGAAATTGCACAGCACTTTTGAAAGTACCCACAAGCGTCCGCAGCTTATTTTCAACCTTATTCAAAAGGGAAATTAATCTCGTTGAAAGCAGCCTGCATTTTATTAAAGCCGATGGTGTCACGGACTGATTACGTCAGGTAATAAAAATTACAACCGGTTTCTAGGCAAACATCGTTAATAACATTTTTCTGAATATTATTTTTAACGTTACTATCTTATTGAGGAGCAAAAGTATGTTTATTCAAAACTTTTGTTTTGTTTATTGAGGAACAACGCATGACGGACAGTAAAAAGATAACATGAATTTCAAACAACTAGAATTTGTTCTCTTAAATAAAGAAATAATAGCTGAAGCGCAAATACTTCACATTATTAAATCACCAATCATTTTGAAGAAGTAATATTTAGCCAATAGCCTACTCCGTTGTTTTTGTATTCAACGAATAACTATAAAGAAAATATTATATGACAAAGAAAACACACTGACTGCAGATGTTATATGACAGTTATATGCATAAAGTATATTATGACTATGTAGCCAAGGTTACAAACTATTAGAAGCACAAACTTATAACGCTTCTGTATATTTATTTTACCATAAGAGTAGATATGTCTTTGTTTGCGAACAATAACTAAAGCAAATGTCTATAAAATTAAATAAAAACTACCCAGATGTTTTTTTTATCTGTAGTATCTTAGAAATCTGCTACTGTCAATGTTTAGCTGTCACTGTCAAATCAAAAATTAAGTCCATTTGATTTCAATTTTTATTTCCTTATTTTCTTTTTAATTCCAAATGTGTGTTTTGATAGAGGAAAATGTAAATTTTAAACATATTTACAATTACAATACAAAGTTCTTTCAATATATGACATTGCTCTATATATGGTTATAATAGACATATATTAAAAAACATGTGTCCCGCCGGGCGGCAGGCCTTGCTGTGCTTTTTCTTTTCAGCTTTCGTATTTACTGTATCTTTTTTCTCCGGAAGTGTGCTAGGATACGCAACGGAGCTTTGGGCCCTTACGTACTGGGGTCCTGCACTGTATTTCTGTTTGTTCAACTTCATATTGAGATATTGTTATAAAGGATTTTCATATGAGGTTGGTTCATTCAATTACTTAATATGTTAGATAAATATACTAATATATACCATTTATTACTTAATTTTAAAGTAACTTTAACATAGAATATTATTTTACATTGTCCCAAATTAACTATGATCCATTCTACTATTTATTTGTGATTTTTTCCAGGTATTAGTGAGATCAGCATTCCTGGGTTGTGCATTTGCGACTGGTCTGTATCTCGCCACATTTGAAGATGGCTGGCGAGTGTTTGGTCTCTACAGCATGGTATTGTCCACCTTTCATTTTACGGAGTTTGTGGGAGTGGCCCTCACTAATCCTCAAACCCTATCAATAGACTCTTTCATACTGAACCACAGCATACAGTATGGGGTCGCCGCTGTCTCCAGTTGGATAGAGTGGGCTGTAGAGTTTTACTTTTATCCAGGTTAGTAAGTTTTATAATCGGAAAATAATTATGGACATTGTTAAAAGTCATATTGTAAAAATAACAACACTAAAAGAATTTTCAAAATTGATTTAGTAAATCCAGAGATTACCCCTTACAACCTCATAAACTTAACCTCTTTTTGAGATTTATTTATTGCCTGATAGTGATTAATTTTGTTTTTGTTTATTGCTATTTCACTGCCTGCTTCGTTAGCTTGTCCTCAGACATAGGCCAAAAATAATTTAAATAAATTTATAAACTTTAAATGCTTGTCTTAAAAAATAAAATTTACATTTTGAATGCTGCCATTTTTCTATTTAACCGACAATATTATGTATGTATTGACAAAAAATGTATCTCAGTATAACTGTTAGTTGTCGAGTACCTATAACACAAGCTCTACTTAGGTTGGGACTAGATGACGCTGTGTGAATTGTCCATGGATATTTTTAATTCAAATTTTCAAATTCAAAATATCTTTATTCATGTAGGTCTATTACAGATTTATGATATGTCAAATCTTCCGTCAGTTCGGAATAATTTCGAGATGAGAAGAAATGACAAGATACTCTGCTTGTATTTTTAAAAAAATTACTGTTGTACATGTTTTTTATGATTATTAACTAATCTTCTCTTTCTACAAAGTAAGTTTAGAGTAATAATATAAGTCTGATGAAATGCTCTCGTTTTCAGATATGAAGACTTACTTCTGGCTGTCCAGCATTGGTGTGATCATGTGCATAGGTGGTGAACTTCTCAGGAAGGGTGCAATGTTCACTGCAAAGACCAATTTTAACCACACTGTTAGTACTAATTATAATATTTAATAATAATGTTTTTATGAAAAAAACTTAAAATTCATAGCGCTGACAATATTATCTGATTGCACTAGGAATGAGTGTGTAACCCTTTCTATATTGATTATCACATGCTTCTTAATTGTTATTGTGTAACCATAATTTTAAATAACGATCTATTCAAAAGAGCAACACACAAATTTCTTGCTCTTTCTCCTTGTGATGAGTCTGCGTTCGGAAAGAGTGGTAAAATAAAAAAATGTGACTGTTCAAAAGTGCTTGTATTGAGTTTATTTGAATAAAGAATATTTCTATTCTATGTGTGTAACTGCAGGTGCAGTTTGTAAAACGTCCGGACCACCAGCTGATCACTCACGGCGTGTACGCCCTCTGCCGGCACCCGAGCTATGTAGGATGGTTCTACTGGTCCATTGGCACACAGGTATGTACCTGCCCCAGAAGCATCCCCCGTCAAATACGAACGGGGATCAAAATTACGACGGCCTGAGCCCCTAACGGTGCCCTCAGACTAAAGTCGTAACCATCAGGCGAAAGGCCTTCGGCAGCTCCATAGACCTCCGCGGCCCCCTATCCGTCTAGATGACACTGTGTGAATTGTGTTGACATTATTATTATATTACTAGCTGTGCCGGCAAACGTTGTTTTGCCTTAAAATATAAAAAAAAAAAAAAATTAAGGGTGACTACCCGTTAATGAAAAATAGATTTGCCATTCTAAATATAATACGCTCACAAAATGTCATGAGATTTGGTTAAGCTGTCACGGAGGAGTATGGGAACGAAAACTGTGACACGAGAATATATAAGATTAGCTGACCCCGCAAATGTTGTTTTACCATATAAATTTAAATCGCTGTTAAAAAGTAGGAGTTAGTGGTTGAAGGATGTAAATTTAAGGCTGTATGTATATATATATATATAATAAAATCATTAAAACTGTCGAAATTAAAAAAAAAATTGTGATGAGCCACCCTGAACAATCAGGAGTATAAAAATTTGTTATAAAGCTATTCTCAGACCTACTGAATATACATATAAAATTTCATCAAGATCGGTCAAGCCATATTGGAGGAGTATAAACACGACACAGTGCTTCCCAAACTTATTCGTATTAAGACGCCCTTGAGACTGCTATTTTTTTGCGACACCCCTCAACGCAGCCCCAAAAATACGCATCAGATATGTATTTTATATTCTAAATTAGTATTTGAATTTATAGTTCTTTTATATTACATTCTTGTTTTTTGATACTTCAATATCCTTTTTTCTATTCCTAATTGTCAGTAGTCTATATTAATATATTTTCTCCATTTACCTAGTCTTTTTTCTTATTACTACAAGAGAACGAAATCTAAACATGTAACTGGGTGGTTAATGTGAAGGGTGTGCTTGCTTTTCAGAGCATACTCTTTATGAAAGTAGGGCTGACGCCTCTGAGACAACGCCGCGACGCCATGATGCGTCGCGGCGCACAGTTTCGGAAGCCCTGTATTAGATTATTATTAATTTAGTGGTCATATCTGTTTTCAGATCATCCTACTGAACCCCATATGCGTCATCATCTACACACTAGCGTCCTGGACATTCTTCCGCGAGCGTGTCTACGCTGAGGAGCTGACATTACTCTCTTTCTTCGGAACACAATATGTGGACTACCAGAAGAAGGTGGGCACTGGTCTGCCGATGATATCAGGGTATGTGCCGGAGAATACCAGCCAGCGAGTGAGAGACGATCATTGGAGTTACTGAAGACTGGAAGATGTTCTGTACGTTTGTTACTTAACTCCTAAACGGCTGGTCCGATTGGGAGGAAATTTTGTGTATATTTTAATGGACTCTTGGATGGCTTGAAAATACAAATGGACCGGTAGGTGGCTCTGCTCTGTCGGGTATGAGGTCAGCCGAGTCAGTTAGTATAATAATCTTAATGTTTTCCTTATGTTGCAATTATGCTCAATTTATCAATTATATTGTACACGTTCACTTAAAAGTCCGTAAATTATTTTAATTATTGGATTTGTTCCCCACATCCCGCCTCCCAATTTTTAATAATAATAAAAATAATCTCAGGACACTTCACACAGCGCCATCTAGACAAACTTAAGCTAACTAAAGCCTGTATTTTGGGTACTAGATAACTGATACGTATATATAGATATTTTTTATTTTCGTAAATACATATTATACATAGAAAACACCCAGACCGATACAAACACTCATACTCATGTTTGTGCCGTGCGAGGAATCGAACCAGCGACCATCGGAAATAAAGCTGTGTGCTAAACCGCTAGACCACCGAGGCCGTCACGTCGGCCGGCCGTATTTTTTTGTTAATCATTCAAGTTTCAATATATTACATTCTGATATGTAACTAAAATGTTTTAAATATGTCTATTTGATGTAAATATTTGGGTATATTTCATTATTTCTACTTCAACTTCTACTACACAACTCGTGTAGAACTGCGGGTAACAGTTCGTGATAATGTTATTAATATATTTATTAACTTACTTTATACTTTTTAAACTCTACCTCGGTAGACTAGGCTAATATTTAAGTACTTTAATCTAATAAAATAATATACTTAATATCACATTATAAACGTTTGAAAGTACGAATAGATGGTTAGATGTTTTTTATTCTGATGTAGCAGCATAATTTCCTCACGTGGCACGTGAGGAAATTATGCTGCTACATCAGAATAGAGTTGTAGGAAGTTGCGAGGACTGAAGGTCGCACGTGTAGAAAGTACGCTGTTACACTCTTTCACGCAAAACTATTGAACGGGTTTTGATGAAACTTTACAGTAATATAATAGTTTGTACATCAGATACATAGGCTATAAATTTCATGCGATGAAACCGCGGGAAACCGCGGGCAGAGCTAATAAGAGTAACACATTAAATAACTATATATACAAAAATTTTTTCTATCTATTTATCTACATGTAACACAGCGCCATCCAGTTGCAAACTAAACAGCGTGTACTGTAGGTACTGCTAGGCAACGGTTAGACGCAAATATATTTGTGTTATTAATTCCATAATGTACATAGAAAACGCCCATATCAGTACAAACAGTCATACTCATGAATAAAAATGTTTGTATGGTGCCGAGATCGAACCCGCGCTGTTAGAAGGCGAGTCAGTGTGTTAAATCGCCATACATTGGTGGTAGCAATAATTCTCTCTAATTAAAAATAACGTTTACATCCTTAGATAAATAAATAATAATAGTAGTTTAAATATTAAAATATAATCTAGATGTTGTGGTTTTTTAATAATTAATAATGTATTTTTCAATATATCTTGTATGTACAAAGTATTATAATTGTAAATTGTTTACTTTTATATTTAAATTTCTAAACTGTTAAGTAACTAAATATATACTTGTAAAACTGTACATGCTTAATTGTATATAAATAAATAAAGTCTCTTTATTTTTTGTTTTTACTGAGTTTATTATATATTCCCAAGCTAAGCAGAAAAATCAACAATAATTCAAATTCAAATTGGAAAATCATTTATTCATGTAGGACATTAGCCGCTTATGAACGTCAAAGTTTTTACATTATAATTTTAATTTTTTCCCTACCATCCTGTTCAGTATATAGATCCAACTGAGAAGAACTGGTAAGAAACTCGATTGAATATTTTATTTTATTTTGTAAAAAGCCAATTTATTTACAATGTATATATATATATACATTGTATATATAGGTGTCTATGTCTAACATTAAATGAAATGAATCCAGTGCATGAACAACTATTGCCATGCACGCTCGTCATTCAAGTAATCGTTTAGTGAGTGATAGGCTTTGCTCAGTAAATATGATTTAACAGATGTTTTAAATTTATTTAAGGGTAATTCATACTCATGAATACCATTTTTTTTTGTTTATGAATCGAATCGAGGCCATCGGAAGTTAGGCGCCGCTTATAACCGCTAAACAATTAAGGGCGATATTAGAAGTGTATATGTATATTATTTTAGGCTTAACAAATTATGTAACGGTTGTGAATCATATACCATTTTTGGGGGTTAGCGGTTGTAAGCAATGTGGACTTTTGACCCCATTGCTCGCAATGATGGTACATTCAGGACCTCTCGAGATTCCCGTTGATTTTGTCGCGATGGTTTTCAGAATAACTGACCAGATCTCATGTTCATCTTATCATCGTCCATTTGTGTCCCAACGTAAATTAACGCAGGTGTTATATGCACCTAGAAAGTACACTTTTCTAGAAAAAAAATAAATTTTCACAAATAGACTATAGTTCCGTATTAACTATATATATATTCGCCACTAGATGGCGCTATTCCAAATAAATACATTACGTTACTTTTACGCAAGACAGGACCCGTGAACATGGGTTTATTACGATACGTAACAGAATAAAGCCCGTAAATGTGAAAGTTTTTAAAAATGTATAAAAGTTACGCAACCATGTTAAAAAATATGAATGGATTTATAAAATTTATGAAGTATCTATAGCTTTATGGTATTATTCATGTAGTGACTATAATCGCAGATGACTGCAAACCCGAATAAGTATATTCAGTTTAAAAAGGCTAACGGTTGAGTTTCTTGCCCGTTCTTCTCAAATGATGTAATTTTTTTTCGCCCATATGCATCCATTTCCTTTTCAATATGAATTAGGCAAAGATCCTTAGAACGTACAGCCTAGTCTACTTTTAAATTTCTGATACTAAAAATAATACTTACCTATATAGTTTATTCTTTTCACGGATTAGAGATAGCTACCACTCTGATTTATGATTTTCTTGACCTTTGTTTTTTTAGAGATTTTTAATAGAATAAAATGAAAGCATGCAAATTACAATTTTTTTTTGTTTATACATACAGCCTACAGCTCTTATTTACACAACGTAATGATCTACTTACTCAGTGAATATTTATGATTGTTTAAAATGTCCTACATGAATATATGCTTTCGTGTGTCAATTTTGAGGCGAAATTTTTTTGTAACATCATTTTGGCGCGCATTTTTTTACGTAGTCCATTTTGGCGCGCATGACCTAGTCACTACTTTCACTGACGCTCCCACAAACAACGATTAATTGAAAATATACACAATAAGAGAAATTGAATTGTATTCAACTTTGACTTGAATAACGAACGTTTAATACAATACTGCACTAAATCAAAAATAAAAAAGATTGCATTTATACTTTAATACAAAAGCCTTAAAGTCGATTTCTCAAAACTTTTGTGTTAATGCATTATTGTATTTAAGGTGCGATATGAACTCTTACATTGTTACCACAGAGTAGACAGATTGTTATGTCAAAAAATGGCGCGCAGCTGTCATGTTGAAATTACGTAAAAACAAGAAATTACAAGACTACTATCGTATCTTGTAATCGTATGTAAATAAATGTATATTAAATAATATGCTTGCTAAATAAATGTATATTATTCTTATGTATATGTAATGAATTACCATAATAGTGACTGTTCAATGGATATTCATGAATATTAATAAAATTATTAGTAATGTGCACTAATGAACGCATTGCTAGCAAAATAATAAAGTACTCTGTGCAAACAAAGTACCAAGCCACTTGACTTCCACGCAGTCCTGAAAATAATCATAAGTTCCTGGTGAATTTGTCACTATGACCTAACTTACTTGTACCCATACTAATCTTATTAGTCTGTACTATATGCAGAATCACAACATTATTATATTTGAATTAAAAAGAATTACACATATTCATATATTTTAATATTAACTATCATGATATAGTATAAAACAAAGTCGATATCGCTGTCTGTCCGTCCCTATGTATGCTTAAATCTTTAAAACTACGCAACTGATTTTGAAGCGGTTTTTAGTAGATAGAGTGATTCAAGTGGAAGGTTTATATATATAATACATGTACACTCGTACAGTCGGGGTGTGGAGCTAGTTAATAATAATAATAAGAATATAATAATCTCAGGATAATTCATACAGCGCCATCTAGTCCCAAGCTAAGGAGAAACATTTATGTTGAAGAAAATGATGAATTGATGTTGCGAAGCCAGGGCAAGTAGCTAGTTAACTAAAATATATATAATATACTATAATGTAATATATATGTGTTTATATATTCGTAAGTTAGCATCCCCTCCAACTGAAATAGTTAATATCATCATAAAAAAAAAACAAAGAATACAAAATTAAACTCAGCAGAGAAACAAATAAAATTAAGAAAAAAAAATCAGGCTCCACTAGTGTCCCGCCAGTGTAAACCGTTATCAAAGGCACCATTACATTATCATCAATTAAAAAAACGAGGTAATCGATTTAAAAATGTTACCATCCCTGTGTTGTGATTTGTAGCAGGCTTCCCATAACATTGACTGTTTGTTCATTCCAATTGGTTTACAAACAAAAAAGATGAGTTAACACATTGTTATTCAGAATACCACGGATACGATGCCGCGTGCGCAACTAGTTCTTCTGTTTGTATTCATGAGTATGATTATTTGTGTTGTCTATCTATGAATATTACATAAATACTAGGGACCGGTCCCGACTTCGCACAGATGCATTAAAAATCATTAAATTTCTTGAATTGTTCTATTTATTTAATTTAATTGAGTCTACATGGTCTCAATTATATATTATAGACTAACATATATAAGAAATAATAATAAAATATAAATTGAAATTGTCTCTATGGTCACGGCACTGACGATGGCTACCTGCCACGGTAGCGTTGATACACCACACCAAGGATGTTATGTATATGAAAATTCGGATACGGATAAGTTTCGGATATAGGAATATATGTATATGCCACGGTAGCGTCGATACACCTCACCAAGGATGTTATGTATATGAAAATTCGGATACGGATAAGTTTCGGATATAGGAATATATGTATATGCCACGGTAGCGTCGATACACCTCACCAAGGATGTTATGTATATGAAAATTCGGATACGGATAAGTTTCGGATATAGGAATATATACGCCACGGTAGCGTCGATACACCTCACCAACGATGTTATGTAGATGAAAATTCGGATACGGATAAGTTTCGGATATAGGAATGATTATTATACCGGATACGGATATGAAATTATTTCGGATTATCCGTTAGTTTCGGATAATTTCGGCTACGGGTAATATTTTTTTAAGGAATTTCAAAACTAAGATACAAATAGCAATAAAATGGTTACATAACGTGGCTCAATTAGACTCCGCCCCTATCCTATATTATCCGAAACTTTTATTTCGGATTCGGTTACAGTTACGGATATTTTTTTATATCGGATATCCGATAGTTTCGGTTACGGATACGGAACTCCCTAATATCCCTGCAACACACCCTTCTACACTATTACACGCGTGTATTATACATATAAACCTTCCTTTTTTGTTTGTAAATACATATATTTAAAAAAAAATTTCGCATTCCCCAATATAGCGACGATTTTTGAACAAACAGTTATTCTGGTGATGTTTCCAGGGTTTATAGTTGCCATTGAGGTGAGAGGATAGCTACAAATCACCAACACAGCGATGTGTAACATTTTTAAATCGATTACCTTTCATTATGTTTTTATTATCTGATTTTTTTTTTGAATGATAATGTAATGGTGCCTGTGATAACGGTTTACGCTGGCGAGGCACCATTGGAGGATGATAAGATGAACATGAGGTCAGGTCAGTTATCCCATCGTGACAAATTCATTAGGAATTTATCACGATGGTTTCCAGGGGGAACCGCGTGGAGGTCAACCTGACATGGTACATTGGTAGTAATGGGGTTATAAATCCACATTACTAACAATCCCCTGTGGTTTCATACTATGCAAAGATTTACAAAGAAAATGGATTTATATCTGTTTACTCATTTATATCCATAACACAAGCTTAGCTTAGCTTGGTACTAGGATCCATCTAAGATGGAGATGTGTGAAATAACCAGGGTTGCTATCATTATTATTAATAATAATTTATAATAATACTAGTTGACTCCGCAAATTTTGTTTTGCCATATAAATTAAAATCGTTATTAAAAAATAGGGGTTGGTAACAGAAGAGTGAAAATTTAGGGTTGTATTATTTTTAATGCCACACAATAAAAAAAATATTTTATCAAAAAAATTGTAGATGTTAGGGGTGGATAACCCTTATCACTTAGGGGTATGAAAAATAGATAGTAGCCGATTCTCAGACCGACTGAATACGCATATAAAATTTCATAAAAATCAGTTAAGCCATTTCGGAGTATCGTAACTAACATTGTGAAACGAGTATTTTATATATCTTTATATATAAAAATTACGTGTCACGTTGTTTGTCCGCGATGGGCTCCTAAACTACTGAACCGCAAAATTATTTTATTCAAGAACCTTAGCTACAGCAACGCGAGCCTGGGTCTGCTGGTAATATATGAAAAAGCAGTGTATGGCAGTAAGCGTAGGTGCCGGCCAATGGCACAATCGGCCGGAATTAGACAATATCACAAAGGCCACCCAATGTCATTATTCCTATTATTTTGCGCGCCAATCCTGGCGGAAGTGTGAAGCAGCACGGGTGAAACCACCGGCAGTGACCGCAAACTGACGTCACGCCGAAGAAAGCACTGGTCTCCGGGGCTCCGATATGTGTTGCCAACCTATTGCTTTTACCACTAAAATTAGTAGATTTGGTGAGCTATGTTTGACGGCTAATGGATTTTAGGGAGCTTGGGAAAATAAAGTAAATGTTGGGACTACTGATTAAATTATTTCCCTTTGACAAAATGCAATAGCATAGGCTGGTGGTCACTACATTCTCTCCAATTCGATTTAACGATTGAATCTTTATTTTTGTAATCATGTACAAAAAGGTTTGAGAGCCGTGTTTCTTCTTGACTCGAAGACACTCCGAACCGATGAAATCAAGACCAAATTCACAAACTTTGAAAGTATGTTATTATAATCAGTTTATATATCTTTACATAATATAAAACAAAGTTGCCGTAGCTGTTTGTACACTTAGATCTTTTAAACTACGCAACTGATTTTAATGCAGTATTCAGCGATAGATAGAGTGATTCAAGAGGAAGGTTTATATATATAATACATGCATATTATAGTACAGAAAATCCGAGAAATTCAAAGATTTGTAAGACACTCGTCCGAAGACATGGCCGATAGTTTATAAAAACGTTTCGTTTTTAGAAGGTGCAGCTAGTGGGGCTGGCTTAAACAATGTTGGCAACACTGACTTTGAAACCAGCTTGTTTGGAGTTCGCGCCAACCAGTCCTCGAGTGACGATCGTTCAGTCCACACATACGATATGGACGAACGCATATCATTCAATTAATATGTCATTCCGGAGACTGATTAGCGCGGTGCGGTCGGCCCGGGACGCGCTGACCCGTGGCGCACCAATGGCGGACGGACTCATCAAATCTTTGATATCCCTGGTGGTCATTTTTTGTATTGCGGTGTCGTCTCCACCACAGGCGTCTGCTAAGCCGTTCTCCTTCAGTTTACCGGCAGGCTGGTCGCTGGCAGGGCTGGTGGGCACAGTGGGGGCTCGGTCCGAGGATGCCGAGCGCCGGGAACTGGCCGGGGTGAAGCCCTACACGGGAAGAAGGGTCAGTAACGAGACGCTGCGGATGATATACTACCATGATCAGACCGTGGCCGTGGTGGAACTCGGTCCTGGCAAATTACTTCTTAACTGCGAGCTCATCGAAACTTAGTAAGTACTTTCTTTTGGCACAATTAGATAATCGTTTACCATAGACTAAACTAGGGGTGAGCAACCTTTTAATCAACGGGCAAAATTTAAATTTTAAAATATTTTGTCGGACCCCACATAGAGTAAACCTATTAATAATGTACAAAACTGTAATAATAATGAATCCTAATAAATTTTTAATAACGAAAGTTTATAAGTATATTATGTTTGTTACTCTTTCACACAAAAACTACTGATCGGATTTTGATGAAACTTTACAGTAATATAGCTTATGCATCAGAATAAAACATAGGCTATATTTTTATTGAAATTTATATACTGAAATTTAAAGCGGGTGAAACCGGGGGCACTGCTAGTATTAGAATAAAAATAATCATATATAAAAGAAGTAAAGATTTCCTATAAAAACTTTAATGCAAACGTTTGTATTGCGTGTTTAAGTCATCTCCGGACTAGACTACTACTAGATCGGACGACTACTAGTCACTGTATAAAATCTTCTGGACGATAAGGTTTTACAGACGTCACAGTGGATTCTGTATTTTTTTTATTGATGATAATGGAATGCAAGACTCGACCTAGGCTTTGCGGCGAGATATTGCATCTCTGTGCATTTTGTTGAGTGTTCTGAGGAATTGTTCGGATTAATACCAGCTGCTGAGTTTCACCACCGTACCACCGCCAGAAACTGAAATACCATCCTGATCATCTGGATGAATGGAGGTCCTCCACACTGCACAGTTTTTATCTAGAATTTTTTGCCGCGCACAACTACATTGTGGAATCACCTTCCAGCAATGGTATTTTCGAACCGATGCGATATTGAAACCTTCAAGAAAAGAGCTTATTCCTTTTTAAAAGGCCGACAACGTAATCACTTACCATCAGGTGAGCCGCATGCTCGTTTGTCCCCTGTGTTATAAAAAAAAAAATGGTTCTCTCGCTTGCGCTAACGGTTTACGCTGGCGGGGCACCAGTGGAGGATGATAAGATGAAAATGTCATAAGATGGCCAGGTCAATTAGCCCATCGTGACAAATTCACCAGGAATTTATCATGATGGTTTCCAGGGGGAAACGCGTGGAGGTCCGGACTTGGTACATTGTTAGCAATAGGGTTATTAGGGGGGAGGGCATTGTTAGCAACTAATGATCCCATTGCTAAAAATGTACTATGTCAGGTCGACTTCCACGCGGTTCCCCCTGGAAACCATCGTGATAAATTCCCGGTGAATTTGTCACGATGGGCTAACTCACCTGATCTCATGCTCATCTTATCATTCTCCATCTTTAAAAAAAAAATAGGTGCACCATTCCATTATAAATCTTTAAAAAAAAATAGGGTTCTTAGTCCACATTACTAACAATCCCCTTCGCCTCTTGTGAGTCAGGTTACCACTTACCATCTGTTATTTGTTTCCCATTCAAATAAAAAGTAACTTAATGAGCACCATTAGCCGGTATTACCAACAATTAGAGGAATAAAAACTTTGTAGTGAACTGAATTTAAATACTTAATTGGTATCATTAAATCATTAATTGAAGCAGTTACTAACATTAAAGAGCATGTTTTATGGAATTAGAGACGGCCTCGGAGGTCCAGAGGTTTACCACACCGCTAAACTTCTTGAAGATATCTATTGTGTCTGATGAGTGAGAGCTGCTGAGGGTTTTAATAACAAGATACGGAGTACAATAAAATGGGACTAATACGACAGCGATATATAACAGAACTAGCTTTTGTCCGCGGCTTCGCTCGCGTTAGTTTATCCCCTTAGGGGTGGAATTTATCAAAATCCTTTCTTAGGGGATGCCTACGTTATAGTAGCTTTATGCATGCAAAGTCTCAGCTCGATCGGTTTAAAATTAACAAAGTTTCATATAAACTTTCATCCCCTATTTTATCCCCTTGGATGGGTCCAAGGGGATAAAATAGGGGATGAAAATTCTTTCTTAACGGATGCCTACGTCATAACATCTACCTGCATGCCAAATTTCAGCCCGATCCGTTCAATGGTTTGAGCTGTTCGTTGATAGATCACTATGTCAGTCACCTTTGAGTTATATATATTTAGATGTAACAAAAAGAAATGTCAATAAAATATGATTAAAAAATTAAAAAATAATATAAAACATATCTAGGAAATTGTCGCTATTCACTAACATTTGTATTCTTTGATTGTTTGTATCTTATATATTATGTACGTGTACAAAAAATCTATGTATTTATATCAGTTGGCTGTAATTGTAATTATCGCGGGTTCGATTCTTCGCACGCTACAAATATTTGTATTCATTAGTAGGATTGTTTGTATCGGTCTGGATGTTTTCTATATATTATGTACGTATACGAAAATCTATGTATTTATATCAGTTGTCTAGTATCCTTAACACAAAATCTGCGTGTATTTTTGAATACAGAATTATGAAAAAAAAAATAGTCTAGAAAATAAATAATATTTTTTTGGAGTGGACTTAAGGTTATTAAAAATAGTTTACATCCTATTTTCAGATCTTTATACACAAAATTTCACAAGAATCGGTCAAGCCGTTTCAAAGAAGTTTTGTTACAAACATTGCAACACGAGAATTTTGTACAGTAAAATATTTATATCTGATATTCATATATATGTACGTACATCGGTCTATTTATCTGTCTGTAGTGCGACACGAGAATTTTCTACACCAGAATATTTACATTTGACATTCGTACATCGGTCGATTTGTCGGTCCGTATGTCGCAATCGTCTCTCGACAACTTGCCCTTGAACGCACACTCGATGACTACCAAATCATTTGTCTGTACGAGGATTGTCAGACCAATTAGCTATCAATCAATGAATCATAGTCATCCAAACTTATATTATAAACTAATTGTACACGCGACTTCGTCCGCGTGGATATTAACTTTATTTTTCTAAAATAGCCTAACTTACTCCTTATTACATCAGCTACCTACTAGTAAAAGTCCCGTCAAAATCGGTCCAGCCATTTCAGAGATTAGCCGGGACAAACAGAAGACAGACAAAAATAGTAAAAAATGTTATTTAGGTGTATGTACCGTATTTATATCCATTTGCATGTAGTAAAAAACGGATATTTCAATATTACAAACAGACACTCCAATTTTATTTATATGTATAGATGAAATGGTGTCTGTCTTGAATTTATATCCCAAAAACGGTTATAGGCTATCATTTATTAAAGAAAATAGCAGATGAAGTCGCTCGATGTTTGATATGACGCAAGTCTACTGAACAAATTTGGATTATATATTGCCCATCAGAATAACATATATAGGTTATAAATTTCATTAAAACCGCGACCACAGAAAATTATAAAATCTGAATATATATATTCAACAAAAGCAATTATGTATAAAATAAATAACTCTGGACAATTAACACAGCGCCATCTAGTTCCACGAACAAATTATGGGTACTGAAATTACAAATATATTTTTTTTTCGTAAATACATACATAATATCCATAGAAAACACCCATAACGATACAAACAATCATATAATGGATACAAATGCATAAATTTCGAACCCGTCGAAAGTAAAGCGGTGTGCTAAGCAACCACTAGACCGCCGAGGCCGTCAAAGGTGTGTTTTTTTTTTTTTTTTTGCATTCAAAATCTTACGTGTATATATATATATTCAATGAGGGTCAAAAGCAATTTGATTTATAATAATAATAATAATAATCTCATGACAATACACATAGCGCCATCTAGACCCAAGTCAAGCTAGCTAAAGCTTGTGTTATGGGTACTAGACAACTGATACAAATACATAGATATATTTTTTTTTTTCGTAAATATATACATAATATCCATAGAATACGCCCATACCGACACAAACTGTCATACTAATGGATACAAATGCACCGTGAAAGGAATCGAACCCGCGAACATCGAAAATAAAGCTGTTTGCTAAACCACTAGACCACCGAGGCCGTCAAAGGTGTTTTTTTTCTTTTGGTATGGCATTCAAAAAGGTATGTAGATGGCGCTGTGTGATTTGTCTTGAGATTATTATTATTATTATAAATCATATGATACACGTAAGTCTACATGACTTACGTGTATATATTTTTTTGGGAGTAATAATCAATGAGGATCAAGACACCGCAGGGAAGTCTTGATTTATAGTCTGTAATTGCTGTATTATCTACATTGTAAACAACGAGAAGGATTTATGCATGTACGCATCGTTGCGTGCAGTAATTCCGCAAGTCAGGATATGTCACAACGACCGACAAATTAGAATTTAAACTTTAATCGATTTTGATCGAGTTAGCCTTTGTAGAATTTCGTTTGTGGGCATCGGTTTTCCATTCCAAATACATAAAAAAACTATGTACTTTATACTATTCACCAGTATTGGTGCACCCGCCTGCGCAAACGATTTACGCTAGCGGGGCACCAGTGGAGGCTGATAATCTTATCACAGAGCATGAGGTCAGGTTAGCCCGTTGTGACAAATTCATCAAGAATTTATCACGATACGTTTCCAGGTGGATTCCCGTGGATGTCAACCTGACCTGGTACACTATTTGCTGCTCCCCGATAGCTGGCTCCCGGGTTATGGGCCCTGTGTTACCACCCCGCCCCTTGAACCTGGCTAGGTTGATATAAAATTCTGTTTGTATGAATTTCTGAATGTATTTCGTTAGGTTATACTATTGTAAACACCGAAACAAATGTTAATAATTAGTAAAAATCACGGGATCTTACCACGTTTTATTCTTATTGAGTTCCCGATATTTCGGTAGTGTTTCAACTGCCATGATCACGGGTAAACAGAAGAGCAGCTGGTATATGGTTAATAATAAAAGAGTAACACACAAGTTTCTTGCTTGTTCTTCTTATGATGAGACAGCATTCCGAATGAGCGGTAGATTAAAAAAAAATGTTATGACTATTCAAAAGTGCTTCAATGTAAGTTTATTTGAATAAATGATTTTCTATTCTATTCTAATAAAATCATTTTTATGG